GTGGACTCTTCAGATGCCAACCCACAGTTAAATACTGTATATATACTAAAAATGAATTACAGATTTACACAGAATGTTGGAGAGCCGTATTGCAGTTATTGTTATGCAGAACAGTGTTTCTGTCTGGCTGTCTGTCTACGTGTGTGTGCTTGTGAGAGTGTGTGTATCTATCTGTCTGCGTGTGTTGCTTTGGCCGCCGGGCCTTCAAAAGCAGCTCTGTAAACAGGGGTAACAACCATGAAGTCACTGGGAGGACCGTTGCTCTGGCTGACAAATGAAGATGCATAGACCGTCCCCCGTGAGATTCTCCCCAGCTTCCCCTCCTCTCACATCTGAAGGCAACAGCTTTTCTCATTCAACACTTTTCTTTCCTTCCACCAGTCCCATTTTTCTCTGTGCACAAAAAAATATATCTGTCTTGATCCTCTGTCATCCCTTTTTGTCAATTTCTTTAAAAGCACCGGAGGAATTGGAATGATGGTGATTTGAATAAATCAGTTGAGCTACAGAGGGAGTATTATATTACAGGACACTGGTGATGGGGAAAATACATAGTACTCACTGCTCAGGTCTTAAATGCCTTTAGTCACTTAAGTCCCCTAATGCCAGAAAAGCCCTGCCAAGCAGAAGGTATTAAATCAAGTCAAATAAATGTAATATGCTGCCACTGCCACTTCTTTTACTAGTGTCCCTTTATTCCCCGTGGCTGCTTTCCACTACAGGAGTTCAGTTGGATATAGTGTAAGTGGGCTGTTAAGTGTAGCACAGAATATATGATCCACTACAGGAGGCTGATGCGAAGCCATGTCATATTGCATCAGAAGAGGTCATTTGTGTTGTTGGTCACAGCAGCACCCCCTGCTGTTGAGCTGTAGCAAAAAGCCTCTTGAGTAAGAACATGACATGGCCAGTGTTGTGGCTGGAATTAAAACATCTACCAGCTACCAGACAGTAGAGCCGTGGGTGGGTGTGTTCTGCATGTAGAATGACCAGATACGTATTTTCTGACCGAGACGGTAGTCTGTTGGAATAGAACCGAATGGAAGTGCTAATGGTTAGCATTGTGTCAGTGCCTGCCTAGCGACCATGTCCTATATTTCTCTCTCATTATGGAGGTAATAAATGCTATCATTAGATATGCAGGGTGCACGCCATTACTGTTAGGGGGGAAACGGGGCGAGACACTAATGGTTCAGTTTTTCCGTGCATCTAGGAAGCGATACAAACATGGCATTATACTAAACTGAGCTATCTGGTGGGCTTTCGTATTTCTCACTTTCTATCTTTCCCTCTATCTTTCTCTCTCTCCCTCTCTCTTTCTAGCTCTCTCTGTTTTCCTCTCCTCTATCCTTCCTTCCTTCCCCCACCCCACCCCCTCTGTCTCTGTCTCTGTCTCTCTCTCTCTCTCTCTGGGTGTGTTTATTTGGAACCATTTTGCTTTGAAAGGTTGGGCCAACTCGACAGACAACGTTACGCCTCAGCAACACACCAGACTGACAAGCAACTCGCTTAGACACTCCATACACCCCTGGAATCACAGCACAGGCTTAGATGTCTTTATTTTCCAAATAACCACCATCATATTCACGTCAACATTATTATTTCAAAGTGCTGTGCTTATTAGACAAGTACAGTATTATAGCAACTTGTATAATAGGGCTCATCATTGTTTTTCCCAGAGATGAGAGCTCTTCTTTCAATCTGGAACATTCTAAGATCGGCTTCCTTATAGCTGACCTAACCAGGTTAATGAAGCCAGGAGACCTCGCCATCTGTTTCGGCACAAACAAGAGACCAGAGGTTCTCCTTTGGCTCCCCATTATAGCAGGCAGCCCTCTCCCTTCCCAGCCGTCTTTGGGCAGCATATGCAGACCCTGACCTCTCCCTTCAGAAGGATCAGCTAATGAGCTACTTCTCTTTAGCCATTCATTTCCTCACCACCGGCCTCTGCATTTCAAACCCAATGTGGCTAGTCGTAGTGGAGAGTTGGACTGTCTTGGACTGTCTTAATTGTTTTAAGGTGATTTAGGGAAAGGAGGACACTAGAGGGGGAAACATCCCCTGTTGATGAGTATGCTCCTTCATCAACGGGACACCATGAGTTCGGTTTGATCCCAATTCTGTTTTAGAAACGGAGCAGAGTTGGGATTTTGGGCCTTGGTTGTTTGGGCTCATGTGACCCTTGTGGGCCATGTGAGCGCATGGAGTAGGGTCCAGTGAATGGCCTCTCGGGGGGGGGGGGGGGGGGGGGGGGCTGCAGGGCTTTGTGTGTGTGGGAGCCTGGGGGTCCCATCTTTATGTGCTCTTTGACCCAGATATGATCTAATGGATAGAGAGGGTTCAGACAGTGGGCCTGTTGAATGGAGGGGGACCGGTCTTGTCCAAATCCCTGGGATTGTTTTCTCAGCTAAACCTGGCCTGTACGCTTTAGCCTCCCCCCACCCCAGGCATTGATCCAGCCTCGGAGATGAGAGAGCAAAACAACATGGCTGCCCCTGCTAATTTACTGTAATACAGCAAGCGACCTGAGCAACACGTAACTGAACTGTTATGTGTGTTTCATGTTGTTGCTGTTATGGTAGACTTAGTTTTGTATGATTTGTGTAGTCACTGAACTTTTGTGGTTTGTGAATGTGTTGGATGAGGATAATTATTAAAAAGGTTTACTGAGATTACTGATTAAGGTTACTGATTAAACAAACTGTTCTGTGCACTGGCCATAGAATTAAGTTATAATGCATGACAAAAAATGCTGAGGCTTCAGTCTTGATAATTTAATCCGTTGGTGGAGTAGTAATTGTAGTTTTGGCGTCATCTCTGGAATTTTAATTAGTTGTTTATTTAAAGTAGATGTTCTTCATGGAGTTTATAAAAGAAAGAGAGGTCCATAGATTCATTGCAATTTGGAGATGTGTCTTATGAACTTACCTGTTGTATGGTTTTTAGTAACTGGTGTAGAAATGACTGTTGAAGCTCTGTGTGTTCCTGCAGCTCCATGGGGGTAGGACTGGTTAATGTTGGTAATGGGTCCCTCTAGTGTTGGTCTAATGTACTACAGTATATTACTTTTCCCAAAGATGGTAGGCTACAGTCCGATGTAGGGATGCAAAAATTCCGGTAGCTTTATCAAAATTCCAAGGTGTGTCAGGGGGGAATAATCCGGAAATCCGGAATCCTCCAAACAGGATTTGAGTGAAACCTGGGAATTTGGGAAAGTTACCGGAATGTTGCAGCCCTAGTCAGATGTCTACCCTCTCTGGTTTTACTTCATTATTTTTCCAAAAATAGACAAACTATTGAAAGCCTGGGGTCATGCTCATTTATGGCAATACTCATTGATAACATTTCCTGTGTTGTTTTTTATTACCATTTCGGAATGTTTACTGTTTTTTTTGTTTTAGAATTCCAGAATAAAGAACAGTGATAGTAGGAGTCATTAAAACACCATTTATACATATCAGACATTTTCTGAGATTTTCTAATCCAAGCGTCACACTGATAAACATATATTATAGTTTAAATTCAACTAACACTCAGGGGGAATAAAATGGTCAACTGTAACCCTAACCCAGTTTTATGAGTACATCTTTAACTGTCTTGTGAGTGACTAGTGCGTAGTCTTTTTTTCCTCAGCCAGCCAGGCAGAGTGCTGAACTAAAAGGGTCAGAGTCAGTCGTCCACACAGACCCAGGAACTGCTGCAGCCTGGATCCTCATTGATTGTATTGGGATTGATGCTCTCATTTACTGTGGAACGGTTTTAGGCTTTAATTATGTTGGGTGTCAATGGCGTTTATCCTATCTGGGCACACCCGCGGAGTCGAATTTCCAGTGAGGCCAAAATCTTTATGATTAGTACATTAGTGTCAGTCCGCGGTCTAGGCCATCCCTGGGAGGAATTAATAATACCCATCCCTTCTCTGGACTGGAGCATGTGCATGGTTAGTGCTGTGCAGAGCACTACTGTGCCACCCAGAGGTTAGTGTGGTGTGTTTTGTCAATTCTATGGCTTAAACCCTAACCGGCAATTTAATAATAATACACTAATTATAATATAAAGCAGAAAATTGCTTTATTTTCACCTCCCATCATTTGAATGTGGACAGGGGCGGACTGGGACCAGAAATCTGCCCTAGCATTTCTAACACAACGACCCATTATATTCATTGAGGCCCCCACAGCTGCCCATTTTTCCCCCCCCCTAGAGGCCCCCATTATTAGCCAGATAATTATAATTTTGCGGGGGTAAAAAAGGTTTGACAGGCCCACTAGGCAAAAAATGGACCAGCCCATCTGGCATTTGCCTGAATGTGGACATTGGCTGTATTGAGGAATTTCAATGGAAACAGTTTCAAACAAACTGTGGCCAGGACTCAATCCCAAACCGTGCTATAGCATGCTTGACATTTAAAGGTAATTTCCAATTGAACCGACATCTGCAGCATCTTCCTTGAATGCGATCTCCACGAAGAGCGCAAACGTGGTAACATTGCCTTTAAAAGCTCTATTGTCTACAAGCACGATCAGATTGAATCCAGTCTGTATCATCATAATAGCTGGATACCTGATTGAAGGCATGTAAGGGACATAATTCAATTCACATTAATAGTCACACATTTCGTAATATCAGAGTGAACATCAGGTGAACAAGTATTGCAGTGACTTTAGCAATATTAAATAACCTTTATCAATTGAAATGTGATGATTAATAGCATGTGATATGTTTCTTATAATTTATTAACAATATTAACACTATATTCAACTTTCGATTTTGGAATATACAGATGCCATTTAAAAGCAAATGCAACCAAATAGCATTACCTCTCCTCCGCATACTCCATATATCCTCTTATACCATCATCCAATGCATCTTCCCCCTCATCTCTCAACTCCCAAGAATTACCTCAGACTCAAAGTACCCCCTACTTTACCTCTACCATGAGGCTCAACTGAACAGATCCACCTCAATAAAACTCTTTGTATCAGGCATGCGTAAGCCCTCTATGTCCCCACCTCCACCGTCAGGCCCTCCTCCACAGTAAGGCCCTCCACCTCCACCGTCAGGCCCTGCTCCACAGTACGGCCCTCCATGTCTACCGTTAGGCCCTCCTCCACTGTGAGGCGCTCATGCATACTGCCACACAGACCAGAGGGCCCCCAGGGTGATGCTGTAGGCCAGCATGGCCACCAAGTAGACCCTGAAGAGCAGCACGTCCAGCACGTAGCCCACCTGCAGCCACTCCTTGGCAATGTCCCGGCACTCGTCCCTCTTCTCCAGGAAGCCGCGGATGGACGAGATCTCATGCAAGATGTTGTCCATGACAGGCTGCGTGGTGTCGCGCACCACGGGCAGGACCACCAGGCCCCCCAGACCCTGCTCCACACTGTCTGCGCCGCCACGGCCGATCTCGCAGGTGTGGTGAAGGTGGTGGTTACATAGAGCTGCAAGGGGTCACACAGAGAGAGAGAGTGGGTGGAGTGGGGTCATATAACATGATTTACTTGTATTTTGAGTATCCAATATTGTGTTGTGCTTGTGGATGCAACATTTATTTATTGGCCCAAAAAGACAGACATTGATTATTTCCAAAGAGAGAAAACAAACCTTTAAATGTATCTATTTGTATCCTTTTCTCTCTCACTCTATGATAGAGTGCTGCTGTATTTTTTAAATCAATGAATACTGCTGAGAGAGAACATTTTATACTATAACTACTGCCCATGTCATTTCTTCCCTCTTAAAGCTCACCTTTTCCCTCTCCCTTCCCTTTTTTCTCCTTATCTCATACTCTTCTTCCTACCCAACCCTCCTGTAGATACATTACCCGGGCTGATGTTGTTCTCTTTGTAATGGCCCAGGTGGTCGGAGTCCTGGGACAGCATGGAGCACAGGCTGTGCTTGTTGCGGATGCAGAGGAGGACCGTGGCCCGCTCCAGCACCAAGTGTTTGAGCCACTGGGGCACGTGGGGCTGCAGGTCCTGCTTATGCACCAGACGCACTATCAACACTGTCTCTGTCAGGCTGATCACCAACAGAGCCATGCACACTACAAAGTATACACCTAGAGAGAGAGGGATGGATTGATATTACCTCTGCACACTACAAGGTATACCCTTAGAAGACAACGGCTACGTCCCAAATGGCACCCTATTCCCTATGTAGTGCACTACTTTTGACCAGGGCCCCAACAAACAATAGTTATTCACCACTACCTCAACCTATTCTTAACTGCAATAGAGCTCACAATCCCATCCTTAATGACAGACACATCTAATAAATCTGAGCCACTAATGCACCAGCTGCATTTCTCACCTATGAGCGGCGTGCCGATGGCGGTGGCGGGCAGCGTGTCGGAGACGATGATGAGGAAGACGGAGTAGCCCAGGAGCAGGGTGATCTTGAAGGACACCCTCTCTCCGCTGTCCGGGGGGAGGTAGAAGCCCACCAGGTCCATCACCATCAGGAAGATGCTGGGCAGCAACAGGTTCACAGTGTAGAACAGAGGTCTGCGTCGGATCACCACCTGATGACATTCATAGGGTTGACGAGAGATTCATTGCTTCTCTTCTTGTTTTTATGAGAAGTATTACTGTGATGAAAATTCCAGATTGTCTGCATAATCAAATAACATTCAGCTCAGACACCCATACATACCCCACAAGACATGCCATCAGGGGTCTCTTCACAGTCCCCAAGTTCAAAACGAATTCACAACAAGGCACAGTTTTATACAGAGCCATGATCACATTGGAACTCCTTTCCATCTCCATTTACTCAAGAAAACAGCTAAATTGACTTTAAAAAACTGATTAAACAACAACTCATGGAACGGTGGGGACTGTGAGAGGACGCGCACACACAGACACTCGATCACACATATCATTTTTTGTTGTTGTTGTATTGTTTGTATATAGTTGTATTTTAAATGTGTGTGACTGTCCTTGTCTATCAGTGTATCAGTGTTTTGTTACTTGTCATGTTTTTTGTGTGTGTGGCCCCCAGGAAGAGTAGCTGCTGCTTCTGCAAAAGCTAATGGGGATCCTAATAAACAAATAAACAAATCATTGGGAATAGAGCAGTAATTAACAAGAAGTAGTATGCATTTCCATATCTAGTTACAGATATCTGGCAGAACAACGTTTTGATCGTGGACAGAACAATATATCAACAGATTCTATCAATGACCCTGAAAGGGAGGTGGGGTGGGAGTGCACTCTCTATCACACTTTGACCTATAGATCCTCACTCATATCCTTTTGTTAATTTTCCATAAAGCAAGCCTGCTTTCTTTGGATAGCGCATAAGAAAAACGGCCATTCTCAATGCATATTTAATACAGCTGAAGATCTTATGTTTCTAATAAAGCCTCTTGCGGTAGAGGTCAAGGTAAGGGTGTCACGGTTCAGACAGACGACCAGAGGACCACAATTGCGTCACACCAGAAAGTTTATTAAACTTAAGGGGAAAAGGGAAGTAGGGAGTGAATGAAGGCTCCAGGGGTAACAGGGATCCCGTCCAATGCGCTGGGTCTGTGCCCCCCCCAGTGGCAGCGATGCGTCCTATGAAGCCGGTGGTGGGTGGTCCAGAAGTCCTGGGGGGGGGGAGACACAGACACAACAGGGCGGAATGAAACCAGGCAGCAGTACAGTTCAAGGGAAATCCAAAATACGTAGTAGCAAGGCAGAAGGCTGGTCAGAGTTACCGGGATTGAAGAGTAGTCAGGAGTCGTAAAGGCAGAAGCAGGTCTGGATCTCCTGAGGCAGAAGAGTATCCAAAAAACAGGCAGGTCCGGGGTCACAAAACCAGGGTGAGCCAGAAGCGCGAGCAAACAGGTTCCGGGTGTGAGCTTTGCAGACGATCTGACACCGGAGAGCTGAAAGACAGGGCCTTAAATACTGGGAGAGGTAGTGGGTAATGCAGCGCAGCTGGCAGAGTAATTAGAGCAGAGCAGAGCAGGGACAGGTGGAGCTAGTTAGGCTGAGTAGAGAGAGTGGTGAGCAGAGTGGAAGAAAATTAAGGTGGTAACCCGGTGGAGTGAGAGGCCCATGACAGAACCCCCCCCCCAAGGGACGGCCCCAGAAGTCCCAAGAGCAACACCACGCCGGGCGGGAGGAGGGGAGCCGGAGGAGGGCTAGAACTCCTCCGAACGGTCCGAGTGAACGTCCTCCTCCTCGGAGGAAGCCGGAGGGCCGTGGTCGGGAGATGGGACAGGTCCCGAGACAGGATCAGGCACAGGACAGGAAGCCGAGCGGGCCGGACGGTTAGGGACCCCTCTGGGGCGGCCCCTACGGATTGCAGGTTGATCAGGATGCCGTTGGTGGAAAGCGGTGATGAGAGTCCTATCCACAATCCGACTAGCTGGCACCCAGGTCCTCTCCTCAGGTCCATAGCCCTCCCAGTCAATGAGGTACTGGAGACCCCTACCCCTCCGTCTGGACCGAAGCAGGCGGCGGACGGTGTAAACCAGACCACCATCGACGAGCCGTGGAGGAGGAGGACCAGGCGCAGCAGGGACCAGCGGACTCTCATGGATGGGCTTAATCTTAGACACATGGAAAGTGGGGTGCACCCTCAGGGAATTAGGCAGTTGGAGCCGGACAGCAGTTGGGCTAATCACTCTTATGATAGGGAATGGGCCAATGAACCGAGGTGCCAGCTTCTGCGACTCCACCCTGAGTGGCAGGTTCTTCGATGACAACCACACCCTTTGACCAACATGGTAGGTGGGAGCAGGAATTCTCCGACGGTTGGCCCCGGTAGTGTAGCTGGCAACGGATCTGAGGAGTGTGGCTCGGGCTTGTGACCAGGTGCGGCGACATCGACGGGCAAAAGCAAGTGCAGATGGGCAAGTAACCTCCTCTTCCTGGCTGGCAAATAGAGGAGGCTGGTATCCATAAACACATTGGAAAGGGGACATACCGATGGCAGAGCAGGTCAGAGAATTGTGTGCGTACTCCACCCATGTCAATTGCTGCGACCAGGAGTGGGGGTTGCGTGAAGTCATGCATCGCAGTGCCTTCTCGAGCTCCTGATTAGCCCGCTCTGACTGCCCATTGGATTGGGGATGGAATCCGGAAGTCAGACTGACTGTGGCTCCCAGCAGGTGACAGAACTCCTTCCAAAAAGCGGAGGAGAATTGTGGACCACGGTCAGAAACTACATCCTTTGGCAGTCCGTGGATCCGGAAGACGTGTTCCAGGACCACCTGGGCGGTCTCCTTGGCGGTTGGGAGCTTGGGGAGGGGAATGAAGTGTGCCATCTTGCTGAAACGGTCAACGATGGTGAGAATGACGGTCATGCCACTTGAAGGGGGCAGCCCCGTGACAAAGTCAAGGGCGATGTGAGACCAGGGACGTCTGGGCACAGGCAGGGGCTGCAGCAATCCGGCTGGGGGCTGGCAGGACGACTTGTGTTGGTTGCAGATGGGGCAGGCTTGGACGAATTCCCGTACATCCTTCCTCAGAGAGGGCCACCAGAACCTCTGGGCGAGCAGGTTGTAAGTGCGGGTGGAGCCAGGGTGACAAGCTAGGCGGGAGTCATGTCCCCACTGAACGACCTGGGACCTCAGGTCTTCGGGGACAAAAAGGCGGTCAGCTGGGCAAGTGCTGGGACCTGGCTGGTTACGGAGAGCCTCCAGCACCTGTTCCTCAACAGCCCAGGTCAGAGCTGCAACGATGCAGGGACTTGGCAGAATCGACACAGGGTCCTTGGAGGGGGTGTCATCCTTCTGGAATTGACGGGAGAGGGCGTCTGGCTTGGTGTTGCGTGATCCAGGCCGGTATGACAGAGTGAAATTAAACCTGGTGAAGAACAGGGCCCAGCGGGACTGCCTGGAGTTCAACCGTTTGGCCGTGCGGATGTACTCCAAGTTCTTATGATCGGTCCAAACGAGAAATGGAATGGTGGACCCCTCCAGCCAGTGACGCCACTCCTCCAAGGCAAGCTTCACAGCCAGCAGCTCACGGTTCCCTATGTCGTAATTGCACTCAGAGGGGGACAACCGACGTGAGAAAAAGGCACAGGGATGGAGCTTCCTATCCTCCGCAGCCCACTGAGAAATCACAGCACCAACTCCCACATCCGAGGCGTCCACCTCCACAATGAATTGCCGGTCCACATCAGGCATCTGGAGGATGGGAGCGGAGGTGAACCTCACCTTGAGGGTACTGAAGGCTTTGTCGGCTGCTGGGGTCCAGGTGAAGGGTTGCTTGGTGCTGGTTAGAGCAGTGAGAGGGGCAGCAACGGTACTGTAGTTCCGGATAAACTTCCTATAGAAGTTAGCAAACCCCAGAAACTGTTGCAGCTTCTTTCTGTTCTCCGGAACTGGCCATGAAGTGACTGCTGATACTTTGGCAGGATCCATTTGGATACTTCCCTCTGCCACTATGTACCCCAGGAAGGCCACTGTCTTGACGTGAAACTCACATTTCTCTGCCTTGGCGTAGAGGGAATTCTCCAGAAGACGATGAAGGACTTGCTGGACATGGCGGGTGTGTTCAGACAGGTTTCTGGAGTAGATTAAGATGTCATCCAGGTAAACGAAGACAAACTTGTTTAACATGTCCCGCAGTACATCATTCACTAGAGCCTGGAACACAGCAGGAGCATTGGTGAGGCCAAAAGGCATAACCAGATACTCGTAGTGGCCTGTTGGTGTATTGAATGCGGTTTTCCATTCATCTCCCTCCCGGATCCGCACTAGGTGGTAAGCGTTTCTGAGATCCAACTTGGTAAAAACAGTGGCTCCCTGGAGCAACTCAAAAGCAGAGGTGAGCAGAGGCAGAGGGTAACGGTTTTTCACTGTGATGTCGTTGAGTCCCCTGTAGTCGATGCAGGGGCGAAGAGATCCGTCCTTCTTCCCCACAAAGAAGAAGCCAGCACCAGCAGGAGATGAAGATGAACGGATTAATCCTGCGGACAGAGAGCCATTGATGTAGTCCTCCATGGACTTTCTTTCAGGAGCAGACAACGAATAAAGACGACCCTTTGGAGGAGCTGTTCCAGGGAGGAGGTCGATGGCACAGTCGTACGGTCGGTGAGGGGGCAGAGATGTGGCTCTTGCTTTGTTAAACACCTCTCTGAGACCATGGTAGCATTCTGGGACATTGGAGAGGTCAGGAGCGGAGTTAGTAGGTACTGGCCGAGGGGGTAGTGCGGCAGCAAGCAGGCAGGTTCGGTGGCAGTCCTCTCCCCACTCCCTGATCACCCCGGTCACCCAGTCGAGCTGAGGGTTGTGCCGGCGGAGCCATGGGTAACCCAGGATGAGGGGTTGGCCTGGAGAGGGGAGCAGGTGAAACTGGATAGTTTCTTGATGGTTTCCGGACAGACCCATCGAGACCGGGGCCGTGACATGAGTGACCGATCCGAGTAAGTGTCCGTCCAGTGCCCGGGCAGGAATAGGAGGTGTCAAACGGAGGTTCTCCAGTCCCAGTTGGCGTGCCAGCTTGATGTCCATTATGTTGGCTTCGGCGCCAGAATCCACCAGAGCAGCCAGGGTGTGAGTTGAGTCAGAGAGGCGGAGGTGAACTTGCAGCAGGGGTTTGCGGTCGGAGGACTGGATGGTCATTGAACTCAACCGGACTCCCCCTATGCCCGGTGAGCTTCGGCCCTTTAAAGGGCAGGTTACCACACGATGTCCATCACCTCCACAATAGAGGCAGAGGTTTGAGGTGAAGCGGCGCTGGCGCTCTGCAGGAGTGAGGGAGGCTCGCCCAATCTCCATAGGCTCAGACTGATCAAGCTGACCTGGGTGAGTGGCAGTAGATGACAGGAGCCCAGTCGGATCTCTCCGAATGCCGGTAGTAGGTGGACCTTGGCGCCCCCTCTCACGACGACGGGTCTGTATCCTTCTGTCGATCCTGACAGTCAGTGCGATGGCTTCATCAAGAGTGGAAGGCAGTTCATGGGAGACCAACTCGTCCTTGATATAGTCAGCCAAACTATGGAAGAACGCGTCCACCAACGATGGTGTGTTCCAAGAACTTCGTCTAGCCAGGGTTCGGAAGTCGATGGAATGGTCTGCGACTGTACGTCTGCCTTGTCGAATACTGAACAGTTCACGAGACGCCTCTGCAGTGGGTGAATCCAGGTCAAACACCTTCAGCATCTCCTCAGCAAACAGGTCGAAGGTTGCACATGCGGGGGTTTGACGTTCGAACTCTGCTGTTCCCCAGAGTCGAGCTCGGCCCGTCAGGTGAGTGATGGCATACCCAACTTTAGCCCCCTCCGTGGCGAAGGTCCTTGGCTGCAAGGAGAACTGAAGTCGGCAGCTAGTCAGGAATGGCCGGACCTGGGTTGAATCGCCGTTGAACCGCTCGGGGTTTCCAATCTTGGGTTCCGGAGCAGCGGCTGCAATGACCGGGGCAGGTAACTCGGGGGCTGGGCTGGTGGGCAGACTGGCTGGGGTAAGGTTGGTGAGGAGTTGAATGATCATGGCGAGTTGTTGTTGCTGCTGCTGGAACTGCTGCTCATGCTCATCGGTTTCCATGTCGGGGAAAGTGTGCGCTGAGTCCATAATGGTCAGATCGTACTGTCACGGTTCAGACAGACGACCAGAGGACCACAATTGCGTCACACCAGAAAGTTTATTAAACTTAAGGGGAAAAGGGAAGTAGGGAGTGAATGAAGGCTCCAGGGGTAACAGGGATCCCGTCCAATGCGCTGGGTCTGTGCCCCCCCCAGTGGCAGCGATGCGTCCTATGAAGCCGGTGGTGGGTGGTCCAGAAGTCCTGGGGGGGGGGAGACACAGACACAACAGGGCGGAATGAAACCAGGCAGCAGTACAGTTCAAGGGAAATCCAAAATACGTAGTAGCAAGGCAGAAGGCTGGTCAGAGTTACCGGGATTGAAGAGTAGTCAGGAGTCGTAAAGGCTGAAGCAGGTCTGGATCTCCTGAGGCAGAAGAGTATCCAAAAAACAGGCAGGTCCGGGGTCACAAAACCAGGGTGAGCCAGAAGCGCGAGCAAACAGGTTCCGGGTGTGAGCTTTGCAGACGATCTGACACCGGAGAGCTGAAAGACAGGGCCTTAAATACTGGGAGAGGTAGTGGGTAATGCAGCGCAGCTGGCAGAGTAATTAGAGCAGAGCAGAGCAGGGACAGGTGGAGCTAGTTAGGCTGAGTAGAGAGAGTGGTGAGCAGAGTGGAAGAAAATTAAGGTGGTAACCCGGTGGAGTGAGAGGCCCATGACAAAGGGTCTATTATCTTCATATATTTCTATATTTTATCTATTCTTACTAAATGTCTTGCTTTTCTGTCAGGTTCAGTTGGTTTTGAATAAATTAATTGCGCTAAGGTATTATGTACATGCACAGGGGTGTTGAGTTTTTTTTTTATGATTGAATTGAACATGATTGTATACAGTAATTGAAAATATTATATACTGCATATCATTTTAACATGTGTAGGCACTTACTCAATTGTGGAGATCTTTCCCATCCCTTTATTGTACTATTTTAACTATTGCCATTTACCTCATCATCATGCATAGGGTTGCAAAACTTACCCAAAATTCCTCGGTTTTCCAGAAATCCTGGTTGGAAGATTCCTGGAATCAGGAGGGAATAAGCTGGAAATCTGAGAATCCTCCAACCAGGACTTCTGGAAAACCTGGGAATTTTGGGAAAGTTGTTTGCAACCAGAATTTTGCAACCCTAACCATTCTTCTACTTGACCAGGTCAATCATTGCCAAATAATATATTTCCAAAACCTGTAATGAATACATAAATAAAAGGTAATGAATTATTATGTTATGTATACTCACATTGAACTTCATCTCGGCATAGGAGTCAATGTTGTCCAGACTGAAGCGTTTGTATTTGGACAGGACGTGTAGCAGCTCCCACTCCCCCTGGTTCATGAAGACACTCTTGTCCACTTTGAGTTCCTCTGCGCTTCTCATCAGCTTGAGGTCGATGTCATTAACTACAGACATGGACATGGAGGAGACAGAGGTCAGTGGGTTCAGATCAATGTAAATTCTGTAAATGAGCATATCAGCAGTCCTCTGCCACAGCTGGCACTAGGAACATTTGATTTTGTTTTGTTTTGCAGAGTGAAAATGTTATGTAGCATCTGGCACTGATAGCATATAATACATTAATGTTGAGGACTAAGACCGAGTGACTGACACTTAGCTTATCCACCACACCTCCCTTACAAAAAAGAAAAAAAGGCATTCTTACCTGGTGCTGTAGCCTACAGTATGTGCAGCTGAAAAGCTTTTTCCCACATGCATAGCCAAATGACTAAATAAGACATGTCTTACGGGTATGGAGCCAGCTCTGGAAGGTCAGGCTGCAGTTCTGGACGTCAAAGGGGAAGTTGTAGATGTTGAGAGTGCAGGCTGTCACCACCTGGATGGGCTTGTAGTTGCGCACCAGTCCATAATGGGTCACGTACACATAGGGAATATCCGGAGACTTTCCCACATCCACACTGAGCGATTACAGGAGGAAACACAACTCAAACCAAAGCAAAAAGATGCAATAAATATGTTTGTGGCTGATCTGGACAACTAATATTTCAGCATATTACACACACACACTTTACTGTACTTTAGTAGTGCTTAATCAAAGATAAATGATACACTTTTATGCAGAATTTGACAGATTTGACTGCATGGCCTAAAATGCGTTGGTCTACACCGACAATAACGTTCACAAAACACAGTACTTACAACTCGTTGATTAGTATGTCAGGCACCCACACATTGGCAGTCAGTATGGACATTTGATTCACATCATCAAAGTCCTCTGGGTTCCATACCAAGAATTCATCTGTCCATTCCTGATACAGAGTTATAGCATACGCGCAGTAAGCATGTCTAGTATTAATAATTAATTAATTAATTAATAATAAGTATCGCTAAATAGCAACTGTAAGATCCTCTGATAAGATACGTTTGATAAATGTCCAAAGGTGAGACATAGACAGGGTTCTACTGTAGTTTTTACAACTTTTATGTATGTTTTAATTTCTTGAAAACATTTTTTCAACAAAATCAATTCGTTGTTTAAAAAGTTATTTAGCTATTTATTGCAAATAGTTATTTGTCTTACCTGCCTGTACCATACATATGTTGTCAGAACCTGGTTCTTCTCGTCCTGTTGTAACACATAGGGCAAATAGTGAAGATCAACATAGGCTACACACTATCTCAGTATACTGAACTACTATTCTAATAAGTGCAGGATTTCTACTAGTAGGCCTACTTACCACACTGAGGATAGAGTACACCATAAGGTCGATGGCCACCATTGTACAATTTCGCCAGTTGCGCACGGGTCGAACCCCCTTCTTGTACCCAGCACTCAAGTACTCGGAGAGACGTACTAAGGTGGCATTGGCAAAGCGTCCGGTATTATTGCCCAGTTTCTTGACTAAGGGAGGTAAAACACATCGTTTCAACATGTCCACGTATGTTATCCACTAAATGCAACACATTGAGGGTTATACAATAATTATTGTGTAAATCTGGCATTATATAAAATGGCAACTTCCAAAACAGACAACCTCTTTCAATAACCCCACAGCCTATGTGGATTTAATTTTGCATGTGCATCTTTTTACCTCCGCAGGCTGGCGCGGTGCCTTGTATCAGGAGCAAGACAAGCGCTGTCCAGAGTGCTGAACCTCTCATTCTGCACAATGTTACACTTCTCTGCCTTGAGCTTGGCAATAACGAGCAGCGCTCAGCTTTGAGATGCAGCGGTTAACTGACGCCGCCGAGACCCATATTCAGGAGTGTCCACTGTAGTCTAATGTCTACGGTATCATGCATTAGTTAAATTCGTTTTCATTCTGCATGAGGCTGGCTTAGCCAGCTGATGTAACTATGAACATGAGGGTGTGTCCATCGGGGATTTGATGATGGGGATTTGGAAGCAGCTGAGGTTACCTTATGTCATCACAAGTCCTGAGCAGATAACTCGGAGCACTCATGTCTATACACGTTTACAGTATCTGACCGTGTAGCCTAACAGATGTCTGTGCATGGATCAAGTTTCGTGTGGCATATCAAAATTTTTCCTCCAACTGAATCCTCAATGTATTTTATAAGCCTACTGTGTGGTAGCATGGTTTTCATACGGGAGTTTAAGTGCAAGTCGATTTTCTCTTATCTCACTAATAAGATCAAACTGACATTTGATACTGATCTTAGACATCATTTTGTTCATTGATGTCTTAAACTGCTTATGTTGGGGGAATATGTACTGCAATCTACAACGAAATTGAATCAATGACTTTTATTATGTGATAGGATCCTGCTGGTACAGTTTATGTTACATGGATATATGAGACACACTGCTGCAAAAACACATGCACCATCTTTGGCTAAAAAACATGCCTACTGCATATATCAACAATTAAACATTTCATGTTTTGGGGAACTAAAGAGATAAAACTGTATTGAAAAATCATGTCCATTAATAGCACACAAAAACACTTGAAAATATGTAGCATACAGGGTATAGGCTGCTACTAAGAGCAACTCAGTCATTACTCATTGTACTGGCTGGACCTTTAACATAAAGTACCAGTCAAAAGTTTGGACACCTACTCATTCAAGGGTTTATCTTTATTTTCACTATTTTCTACATTGTAGAATAATAGTGAAGACATCAAAACTATGCCTTTACACAGCCTGGAGGTGTGTTTTGGGTCATTGTCCTATTGAAAAACAAAAATGATAGTCCCACGAAGCGCAAACCAGATGGGATGGTGTATCGCTGCAGAATGCAGTGGTAGCCATGCTGGTTAAGTGTGCCTTGAATTCTTAATAAATCACAGACAGTGTCACCAGCAAATGACCCCCACACCATCACACCTCCTCCTCCATGCTTCACAGTGGGAACCACACATGTGGAGATCATCTGTTCACCTACTTTGCGTCTCACAAAGACACGGCGGTTGGAACCAAAAATCTCAAATTTGGACACATCAGACCAAAGGACAGATTTCTACCGGTCTAATGTCAATTGCTCGTTTCTTGGCCCAAGCAAGTCTCTTCTTCTTATTGGTGTCCTTTAGTAGTGGTTTCTTTGCAGCAATTCGACCATGAAGGCCTGATTCACACAGTCTCCTCTGAACAGTTGATGTTGAGATGTGTCTGTTACTTGAACTCTGTGAAGCATTTATTTGGGCTGCAATTTCTGAGGTGCAGTTACTCTAATGAACTTATCCTCTGCAGCAGAGGTAACTCTGTGGCGGTCCTCATGAGAGCCAGTTTCATCATAGTGCTTCATGGTTTTTGCGACTGCACTTGAAGAAACCTTCAAAGTTCTTGACATTTTCCGGATTGGCTGACCTTCATGTCTTAAAGTAATGATGGACTGTCGTTTCTCTTTGCTTATTTGAGCTGTTCTTGCCATAATAGGGACTTGGTCTTTTACCAAATAGGGTTATCTTCTGTATACCCCGCCTACCTTGTCACAACACAACTGATAGGCTCAAACGCATTAAGAAGGAAATAAATTCCATAAATTAACTTTTAAGAAGGCACACCTGTTAATTGAAATGCATTCCAGGTGACTACCTCATGAAGCTGGTTGAGAGAATGCTAAGAGTGTGCAAAGCTGTCATCAAGGCAAAGGGTGGCAACTTTGAAGAATCTCAAATATAAAATATATTTAGATTTGTTTAACACTTTTTTGGTTACTACATGATTCCATATGTGTTATTTCATAATTTAGATGTCTTCACTATTATTCTACAATGTAGAAAATACTAAATATAAAGAAAAACCCTTGAATGAGTAGGTGTGTCCAAACTTTTGACTGGTGGTGTATATTCATAAGGCTATGGCACATACAGTATTAAATACACAAACACGTGCACATAAAACCTATACAGTTGGTAATTTAATATAGTATCAAATCCATAGCAGGTCATATTGACTGAGTGTCATTAAGTCTTACTAAGCTCTCTCCCTGACCTGCAGAGCATCTACAGTTGAAGTCGGAAATTTACATACACCTTAGCCAAATACATTTAAACTCAGTTCTTCACAATTCCTGACATTTAATTCTAGTAAAAATTCCCTGTCTTAGGTCAGTTTGGATCACCACTTTCTTTTAAGAATGTGAAATGTCAGAATAATAGTAGAGAGAATTATTTATTTCAGCTTTTATTTCTTTCATCACATTCCCAGTGGGTCAGAAGTTTACATACACTCAATTAGTATTTGGTAGCGTTGCCTTTAAATTGTTTACCTTGGGTCAAACGTATCGGGTAGCTTTCCACAAGCTTCCCACAATAAGTTGGGTGAATTTTGGCCCATTCCTCCTGACAGAGCTGGTGTAACTGAATCAGGTTTGTAGGTCTCCTTGCTCGCACATGCTTTTTCAGTTCTGCCCACACATTTTCTATAGGATTGAAGTCAGGTCTTTGTGATGGCAACTCCAATACCTTGACTTTGTTGTCCTTAAGCCATTTTGCCACAACTTTGGAAGTATGCTTGGGGTCATTGTCCATTTGGAAGACCCATTTGCGACCAAGCTTTAACTTCCTGACTGATGTCTTGAGATGTTGCTTCAATATATCCACATAATTTTCCTTCCTCATGATGCCATCCATTTTGTGAAGTGCACCAGTCCCTCTTGCAGAAAAGCACCCCCACAGCATGATGCTGCCACCCCCATGCTTCACGGTTGGGATGGAGTTCTTCGGCTTGCAAGCTCCACCCTTTTTCCTCCAAACATAACGATGGTCATTATGGCCAAACAGTTCTATTTTTGTTTCATCAGACCAGAGGACATTTCTCCAAAAAGTACAATCTTTGTCCCCATGTGCAGTTGCAAACCGTAGTCTGGCTTTTTTATGGCGGTTTTGGAGCAGTGGCTTCTTCCTTGCTGAGCGGCCTTTCAGGTTATGTCGATATAGGACTCATTTTACTGTGGATATAGATACTTTTGCACCTGTTTCCTCCAGCATCTTCACAAGGTCCTTTGCTGTTGTTCTGGGATTGATTTGCACTTTTCGCACCAAAGTACGTTCATTGCTAGGAGACAGAAGCTTCCTGAGCGGTATGACGGCTACGTGGTCCCATGGTGTTTATACTTGCATACTATTGTTTGTACAGATGAACGTGGTACCTTCAGGCGTTTGGAAATTGCTCCCAAGGATGAACCAGACTTGTGGAGGTCTACAAATTATTTTCTGAGGTCTTGGCTGATTTCTTTTGATTTTCCCATGATGTCAAGCAAAGAGGCACTGAGTTTGAAGGTAGGCCTTGAAATACATCCACAGGTACACCTCCAATTGACTCAAATTATGTAAATTAGCCTACCAGAAGATTATAAAGCAATGACATCATTTACTGGAATTTTACCATCTGTTTAAAGGCACAGTCAACTTAGTGTATGTAAACTTCTGACCCACTGGAATTGTGATACAGTGAATTATAAGTGAAATAATCTGTCTGTAAACAATTGTTGGAAGAATTACTTGTGTCATGCACAAAGTAGATGTCCTAACCGACTTGCCAAAACTATAGTTTGTTAACAAGACATTTGTGGAGTGGTTGAAAAACGAGTTGTAATGACTCCAACCTAAGTGTATGTAAACTTCCGACTTCAACTGTATATCCGTGCACAACACTAGCTAAAAACAAGATACACAGTCAAACTAAGTGCCACAGTTGAAAAGCTTTATTTATATGTAGGCTAGCAACAGGACTTGTTTGATATGAAGGGGACTAAGAAGTTACAACACAGATATGAATGTACAACATAACATTACAGCAAACAATTACCAGCATTAATTTATTTCCTCAACTCAAGGAGGTGGCCATACAATGGGTTGTAATGTGATCTGCTCAAAGCAAATGTCTGCTGTTCAAGTGAAAATTCCATTTACATAGATCGTTCCCTGCCAGGGGTTTTTATGAGTAGCTCATGTATCTTTTTTATGACTATCAGTGAGCCAATAGGGAATGCAGTTGCCGAAGCTAGGCTTTGAATGTGCTATATTTATTTGGTACAAGTTTCAGCGGAGCATGGTGATTTAAGTTCATGTAGAATAGCATCACGTTGATGTAACGAAATGTGTCCGGAGAACATAAGCAAGATACAGTGAGGGAAAAAGGTATTTGATCCCCTGCTGATTTTGTACGTTTGCCCACTGACAAAGAAATTATCAGTCTATAATTTTAATGGTAGGTTTGTTTGAACAGTGAGAGACAGAATAACAACAAAAGAATGCAGAAAAACGCATGTCAAAAATGTTATACATTGATTTGCATTTTAATGAGGGAAATAAGTATTTGACCCCTCTGCAAAACATGACTTAGTACTTGGTGGCAAAACCCTTGTTGGCAATCACAGAGGTCAGACGTTTCTTGTAGTTGGCCACCAGGTTTGTACACATCTCAGGAGGGATTTTGTCCCACTCCTCTTTGCAGATCAGTCATTAAGGTTTCGAGGCTGACGTTTGGCAACTCGAACCTTCAGCTCCCTCCACAGATTTTCTATGGGATTAAGGTCTGGAGACTGGCTAGGCCACTCCAGGACCTTAATGTGCTTCTTCTTGAGCCACTCCTTTGTTGCCTTGGCCATGTGTTTTGGGTCATTGTCATGCTGGAATACCCATCCACGACCCATTTTTAATGCCCTGGCTGAGGGAAGGAGGTTCTCACCCAAGATTTGACGGTACATGGCCCCGTCCATCGTCCCTTTGATGCGGTTAAGTTGTCCTGTCCCTTTAGCAGAAACCCCCCCCCAAAGCATAAGGTTTCCACCTCCATGTTTGATGGTGGGGATGGTGTTCTTGGGGTCATAGGCAACATTCCTCCTCCTCCAAACATGGCGAGTTGAGTTGATGCCAAAGAGCTCCATTTTGGTCTCATCTGACCACAACACTTTCACCCAGTCCTCCTCTGAATCATTCAGATGTTCATTGGCAAACTTCAGACGGGCATGTATGTGTGCTTTCTTGAGCAGGGGGACCTTGCGGGCGCTGCAGGATTTCAGTACTTCACAGCGTAGTGTGTTACCAATTGTTTTCTTGGTGACTATGTTCCCAGCTGCCTTGAGATCATTGACAAGATCCTCCCGTGTAGTTCTTGGCTGATTCCTCACCGTTCTCATGATCATTGCAACTCCATGAGGTGAGATCTTGCATGGAGCCTCAGGCCGAGGGAGATTGACAGTTCTTTTGTGTTTCTTCCATTTGCGAATAATCGCACCAAGTGTTGTCACCTTCTCACCCAGCTGCTTGGCGATGGTCTTGTAGCCCATTCCAGCCTTGTGTAGGTCTACAATCTTGTCCCTGACATCCTTGGAGAGCTCTTTGGTCTTGGCCATGGTGGAGAGTTTGGAATCTGATTGATTGATTGCTTCTGTGGACAGGTGTCTTTTATACAGGTAACAAGCTGAGATTAGGAGCACTCCCTTTAAGAGTGTGCTCCTAATCTCAGCTCGTTACCTGTATAAAAGACACCTGTGAGCCTGAAATCTTTCTGATTGAGAGGGGGTCAAATACTTATTTCCCTAATTAAAATGCAAATCAATTTATAACATTTTTGACATGCGTTTTTCTGGATTTTTTTGTTGTTATTCTGTCTCGCACTGTTCAAATAAACCTACCATTAAAATTATTGACTGATCATTTCTTTGTCAGTGGGCAAACGTACAAAATCAGCAGGGGATCAAATACATCAGTCTGTATTTATGTATGGGGGCAATCTTCCGATAGTACATGAGAATACAGTATTGATTCAATAGCTTCGAGCTGCTACAGTATCAAAAGAAGAAGGGGGGACAAAGGGTATCGGCTCAACCACATCAACAACCATTAATTTACTTTTAACATTTTATTAGAGCAAAATAAATGTGTTTGAACAAAGTTTTTTTCCCCTTCTCTCCTCATGCAGAGCTCCAGCTGGCCCACAGTAGCAGCAGAGTGCTGGTGTAGACGACCAGGATTAGCAGGTAGACTCGGAACAGTAGGAGGTCCACCTTACAGCAGAGGGCCACCCAGTCAGCCTGGGCTGAGTCGTCACTCACTCCCTCCTGCAGGTAGAGCCTCAGGGCCACCACCTCCTGGAGAAGCCTCTCCAGCCGAGGAGCACTCTCCTGGGGCTCGCTCAGGGACAGCAGTTCCTCTGGAGCCAGGTCAAACTCATAGCCTGGTGGGACAACATGTAAGTGGGGTTTTGATGGGGTGATGATGGGGTTGGACACATGACTGTCAAAAGAGATGATATTCTGTTGCTACATCGCAATCTTAACAAGTAAATTAAATAAAAGTCAAACTGTCGATTGAATAGGTATATGTCTAGACATACTGTAACGGTGTATTTTCTCTCTGATCGATTTGATGTTAACACAGAGGAACATAGAGGTGTGGTCAACATGATAGTAAACATGTCAGAGCTGGCCATTACATATCAAAGAGAATAAGAAATCTGAGGTAAATAAATCTGTGGAAAGTTAGGAAAACCACCACCTGCTAAGCGTTTGGTCCTAATACCTAGTCACACTCTTATGTCCTATGACCATACAAAGATCCCCAACAACACAGGTCCCCTCTCACCCCCACACTGATCCACATCGCCCAGTGTTTTGACAGAAGTGAAGTTGCTCTCGAGGAAGGTCTGACTGGACGAGCCGTACTTATCGAGGAGGCAGGCGGACACTGACATCTCCTTGACCTCCTTCTCATTGTGGTGGAGGAGCTTCACTACAAATATGGAGATGGCTAGATTCAGCACCAGCAGCGCCATGCACACCGCAAAGAACACACCTATAAGATGGAGAACACCAAACATCAACAATACACCCGTTAGAAAATGACAAATCTTAATTTTTCAAGGACATGTCTTAGATCAGAAATACATTTATGTCTCAAGACATTTCATGTCACAAAGCATTGGCCATGGCTGGGTATGAAGGGCAAGCTTGGTGTGTCAAACAGTATGACAGAACATTCAAAACAAAGATGAGGAGACGAGCTGGTGTAGGATACCTATGAGTGGTGTTCTGATGGCGGTGGCAGGCATCTCATCCATCAGGTTGACCCTAAAGACAGTGTAGCCCAGGAGGATACTGGTCTTGAAGGTGATGCGCGTGCCACTGTTGGGCGGCAGGTAGAAGCTGATGACGTTCACCACCATGAGGAAGATGCTTGGGATGAGCAGACTCACCACATACAGCAGGGGGCGCCGGCGGATCAACACCTGACCAGTGGGGGTGAGAGGGAGTGAAAAAGAGAGAGAGAGAGAGTTTGACTTTTCTATTTCATGTCACACGTTGGTCGAGAATGTGTTTGAACTCCCCCATAAGTGAGAAATTGAGAAAAACTATGTTTTCCCCTCACTAACTTAAACCTAAATCTGCCCCATTTTAGCTATAGATATCAACTGTACTTTTCTCAACTGAAACACAAGAAAACCCTATTCCACAGTATTACCCTCCTGTCCTCCTCCAGTACCCCAAAACACATAAATCCCCGCTTCCACAATGAGCCGTAGTGTAAAGGTAACCCAACGAGCCCTGCTGGATCGACACTTCATCATTAAGTGCCCTCCTGAGCTGAATGTACAACAGCAGCCCTGCCTAGACTATCCTTGCAGGCAGTCTCTCCCCCACCTGCACCAGGCCCAGGGCCCATTTCTCTGGCAGAACAAGACGGCCATTGATCAGCCGCCACAGAGACAGCCTCATTATGGTGCCTCTCTCTCTCAGCATGCTGGACGCGCCTCATCCTCATCTATTAGCATTAGCACTTAATCCTGTCCGTGAAGCCCTGGCTGATCTCTTTAACACCATCACAACAGGAGGACCAGGAGGAGGGGATGGCTAAAAACCTCCTATCGATTCTCAATCTGATTTAGTTGTCATTGTACAGTCACAAGTGTGTATCTTTTTGTTTCCTGTTGGATAGACATCAAACCATATAGAAAATCCCACTAACACACCTAGAGTGGGGGAAAAAAATATTTAGTCAGCCACCAATTGTGCAAGTTCTCCCACTTAAAAAGATGAGAGAGGCCTGTAATTTTCATCATAGGTACACGTCAACTATGACAGACAAATTGAGAGAAAAAAAATCCAGAAAACCACATTGTAGGATTTTTTATGAATTTATTTGCAAATTATGGTGGAAAATAAGTATTTGGTCGCCTACAAACAAGCAATATTTCTGGCTCTCACAGACCTGTAACTTCTTCTTTAAGAGGCTCCTCTGTCCTCCACTCGTTACCTGTATTAATGACACCTGTTTGAACTTGTTATCAGTATAAAAGACACCTGTCCACAACCTCAAACAGTCACACTCCAAACTCCACTATGGCCAAGACCAAAGAGCTGTCAAAGGACACCAGAAACAAAATTGTAGACCTGCACCAGGCTGGGAAGACTGAATCTGCAATAGGTAAGCAACTTGGTTTGAAGAAATCAACTGTGGGAGCAATTATTAGGAAATGGAAGACATACAAGACCACTGATAATCTCCCTCGATCTGGGGCTCCATGCAAGATCTCACACCGTGGGGTCAAAATGATCACAAGAACGGTGAGCAAAAATCCCAGAACCACACGGGGGGACTTAGTGAATGACCTGCAGAGAGCTGGGACCAAAGTAACAAAGCCTACCATCAGTAACACACTATGCCGCCAGGGACTCAAATCCTGCAGTGCCAGACGTGTCCCCCTGCTTAAGCCAGTACATGTCCAGGCCCGTCTGAAGTTTGCTAGAGTGCATTTGGATGATCCAGAAGAGGATTGGGAGAATGTCATATGGTCAGATGAAACCAAAATAGAACTTTTTGGTAAAAACTCAACTCGTCGTGTTTGGAGGACAAAGAATGCTGAGTTGCATCCAAAGAACACCATACCTACTGTGAAGCATGGGGGTGGAAACATCATGCTTTGGGGCTGTTTCTCTGCAAAGGGACCAGGACGACTGATCCGTGTAAAGGAAAGAATGAATGGGGCCATGTATCGTGAGATTTTGAGTGAAAACCTCCTTCCATCAGCAAGGGCATTGAAGATGAACCGTGGCTGGGTCTTTCAGCATGACAATGATCCCAAACACACCGCCCGGGCAACGAAGGAGTGGCTTCGTAAGAAGCATTTCAAGGTCCTGGAGTGGCCTAGCCAGTCTCCAGATCTCAACCCCATAGAAAATCTTTGGAGGGAGTTGAAAATCCGTGTTGCCCAGCAACAGCCCCAAAACATCACTGCTCTAGAGGAGATCAGCATGGAGGAATGGGCCAAAATACCAGCAACAGTGTGTGAAAACCTTGTGAAGACTTACAGAAAACGTTTGACCTGTGTCATTGCCAACAAAGGGTATATAACAAAGTATTGAGAAACTTTTGTTATTGACCAAATACTTATTTTCCACCATAATTTGCAAATAAATTCATTAAAAATCCTACAATATGATTTTCTGGATTTTTTTTCTCATTTTGTCTGTCATAGTTGACGTGTACCTATGATGACAATTACAGGCCTCTCTCATCTTTTTAAGTGGGAGAACTTGCACAATTGGTGGCTGACTAAATACTTTTTTCCCCCACTGTATTCACATATTCCATATTTACTGACTGACTGGAAATGTATTGCTGTATAAGTGTATACAGATGGCACTAGACGTATAGGTCATATTTGTATTTCTTCAAATACTTTCCTTCAAATCAGGTATCTGAAGGGAAACACAGAGAGACCTAGATCTGGTAACTGTAGGCACACACGTTGAACTGGATGTGGGCATAGTCTCTGTCGTCCAGGCGGAGCTGCCAATAGCGGGAGGGCACAGAGCTCCCACTCGCCATCGTCCATAAACGACTTCTGATCATTGGCGATCTCCTCCACACTCCTCCACAGAGTCAGGTTCACCTCACTCACTGCATACATGATTGTGGAGGTCAGGGAGAGAGCTTAGTAAGACTTAATGACACTCAGTCAATATGACCTGCTATTGATTTGATACTATATTAAATTACCAATTGTATGGGTTTTATGTGCACGTGTTTGTGTATTTAATACTGTATGTGCCATAGCCTTATGAATATACACCACCAGTCAAAAGTTTGGACACACCTACTCTTTCAAGGGTTTTTCTTTATTTTGAAAAAGTTTTACATTGTAGAATAACAGTGAAGACATCAAAACTATGAAATAACGCATATGGAATCATGTAGTAACCAAAAAAGTGTTAAACAAATCAAAATATATTTTATATTTGAGATTCTTCAAATAGCCACCCTTTGCCTTGATGACAGCATTGCACACTCTTGGCATTCTCTCAACCAGCTTCATGAGGTAGTCACCTGGAATGCATTTCAATTAACAGGTGAGCCTTGTTAAAAGTTAATTTGTGGAATTTCTTTCCTTCTTAATGCGTTTGAGACAATCAGTTGTGTTGTGACAAGGTGTGTGTGTGTGGGGGAAGATAGCCCTATTTGGTAAAAGACCAAGTCCATATTATGGCAAGAACAGATCAAATAAGCAAAGAGAAATGACAGTCCATCATTACTTTAAGACATGAAGGTCAGTCAATCTGGAAAATGTCAAGAACTTTGAAGGTTTCTTCAAGTGCAGTCGCAAAAACCATCAAGCGCTATGGTGAAACTGGCTCTCATGAGGACCGCCACAGGAATGGAAGACCCAGAGTTACCTCTGCTGCAGAGGATAAATTCATTAGAGTTACCAGCCTCAGAAATTGCAGCCCAAATAAATGGTTCACAGAGTTCAAGTAACAGACACATCTCAACATCAACTGTTCAGAAGCGACTGTGAATCAGGCCTTCATGGTCAAATTACTGCAAAGGAACCACGACTAAAGGACACCAATAAGAAGAAGAAACTTGCTTGGGCCAAGAAACACGAGCAATGGACATTAGACCGGTGGAAATTTGTCCTTCGGTCTGGAGTCCAAATTTGAGATTTTGGTTCAAACCGCCGTGTCTTTGTGAGACATGGTGTGGGTGAACGGATTATCTCTGCATGTGTAGTTCCCACCGTAAAGCATGGAGGAGGAGGTGTTATAGTGTGGGGGTGCATTGTGGTGACACTGTCTGTGATTTATTTATAATAATAATAATAATATGCCATTTAGCAGACGCTTTTATCCAAAGCGACTTACAGTCATGTGTGCATAAATTTTTACGTATGGGTGGTCCCAGGGATCGAACTCACTACCCTGGCTTTACAAGCACCATGCTCTACCAACTGAGCTACAGAGGACCACAATTATTTAGAATTGAAGGCACACTTAACCAGCATGGCTACCACAGCATTGTGCAGCGATACGCCATCCCATCTGGTTTGGGCTTAGTGAGACTATCATTTGTTTTTAAACAGGACAATGACCCAAAACACCTCCAGGCTGTGTAAGGGCTATTTGACCAAGAAGGAGAGTGATAGAGTGCTGCATCAGATGACCTGTACTCCCCGATCACCTGACCTTAACACAATTGAGATGGTTTGGGATGAGTTGGACCGCAGAGTGAAGAAAAAGCAGCCAACAAGTGCTCAGCATATGTGGGAACTCCTTTAAGACTGTTGGAAAAAGCATTCCTCATGAAGCTGGTTGAGAGAATGCCAAGAGTGTGCAAAGCTGTCATCAAGGCAAAGGGTGGCTATTTGAAGAATCTAAAATAAAAAATATATTTTGATGTAGCACTTTTTTGTTTACTACATGATTCCATATGTGTTATTTCATAGTTTTGATGTCTTCACTATTATTCTACAATATAAAAATAAGAACAACCCTTGAATGAGTAGGTGTGTCCAAACCTTTGACTGGTACTGTATTTTGTCTATGGAATGGTATGCCATTGTTATTTTGCACTTCTAATTGTGTGTTTTAGACACGTCATCCATCTGTGCATATCCAGATGTACTGTATAGTCATTTGACTGGGTAATAATGTTAGCGTGTTTACAGCTCTCTATGCTAACCTGAGTGAAGCCAGCTGCGGAAGGTCAGAGTGCAGTTCTGCTTGTCGAAGGGGAAGGCGTACAACTCCAAGTCACACGCAGACACCACCTGGATAGGCTTGTTGTTTTTCACCATGCCCAATGAGTTGACATACACATAGGGGATGGCAGGGGACTCCCCTACATCCACACTAACAGGGGGAAGAACACGACTTATGGGTAAGACAAGAGTTCCAGCTGCTTACAGTACTGTATGTCGAACATGAGACACTCTGACCCTGGTCAACACACTTCCTTGTCAGTCCGTCATTTTAAATTAAAAGGCCAAATGTTGAACATTTCTGAGAAGAGTCTGTGGGTATTGAGTAATCGGATGACATGTTATGTAATTTGAACAGGAATACATAGTGTCAATTCTTACAATTCACTGATGATGAGATCGGGCACCCATATAGCGTCAGAGGACAGGGAGATCTCAGTGATCCCGTCAAACTCCTCGGGGTCCCATACCAGGAACTCATCAGTCCATATCTGACATCATAAACAGGAAATACATCACAAGACCATTCATATGAAGTACATGACATATGGGTGCCTGACTGTTTTGGCATTCAATAACACAATTGTTGCATGCCAGACAAGGCTGAAGACGCATTGGCTGAAGCAGGCTCCCTGTCTTTCAGACAGACATGCTATACATGGAAAACAACCATGTGAAAACCATGTCTAAGCAGAAGCTTTATATATATTATATAACTGACATGGAACACAGGCACAGGATTCGTAGCAACAGATAAATGTGGTACACATGTTAAGGCAGACATAATGTGCATTATTCACTCATAATATCTGAAGAGAACATTGCATTTGTATAAGTACACCAACGGCATTGTCTTTCAGTGTTTTTGAACAAAATACTGAACATTTGATGTTTGACTTTAGGTGTACCCTCTGGCGCTCAATCAATGGCACAAGGACAAGCGGCGGATGGGAAAATGAGCGAAGTCAACAAGGGTGTTGCAACTGCATTAAAGTGAATGGAGAGTGAGCCTGGAGACTCATATCTGCTGGCCCCACCGAACAAATCAACCCTAATGAGATTCTCCTCATCCTGATTTTATTTTCATGTTGTTTTTTTCAATGGCTCACTCCACCACTCCATTGAAACTATAAATATGATGCGTAGAAGTGATTATTCCTTGAAGGGGTAATTAAAGTAATGACATTCTAAAATATTCCTATTTGTGGATGGGGCCAGTGATGGTTTTACATTGCATGAACATTTTGAAATGTATGTCTAATACCAATAGAAGAACACAATTCATACCAACCTGCCGGTACCAAATGCTTGTGGTTACTTGCTGTGTCTTTCCATCCTGCAAAAATAAATTATTGAGTATTACTTTTGTATTACATTTTTGGGTGTAAATTATTTGTGCAGACTATTGAAATGTCTAGCTACAAATGGTCCAAATGTATTTACTGATACAAGATTAATATTTAATACCAAAAAAAAACATCAACAATATTTTCATTTCCTGTGTTACATACAGTGGGGAAAAAAAGTATTTAGTCAGCCACCAATTGTGCAAGTTCTCCCACTTAAAAAGATGAGAGAGGCCTGTAATTTTCATCATAGGTACACGTCAACTATGACAGACAAATTGAGAGAAAAAAAATCCAGAAAACCACATTGTAGGATTTTTAATGAATTTATTTGCAAATTATGGTGGAAAATAAGTATTTGGTCACCCACAAACAAGCAAGATTTCTAGCTCTCACAGACCTGTACACACCGCCCGGGCAACGAAGAAGTGGCTTCGTAAGAAACATTTTAAGGTCCTAGAGTGGCCTAGCCAGTCTCCAGATCTCAACCCCATAGAAAATCTTTGGAGGGAGTTGAAAGTCTGTGTTGCCCAGCGACAGCCCCAAAAAATCACTGCTCTAGAGGAGATCTGCATGGAGTAATGGGCCAAAATACCAGCAACAGTGTGTGAAAACCTTGTGAAGACTTACAGAATACGTTTGACCTGTGTCATTGCCAACAAAGGGTATATAACAAAGTATTGAGAAACTTTTGTTATTGACCAAATACTTATTTTCCACCATAATTTGCAAATAAATTCATTTAAAATCCTACAATGTGATTTTCTGTTTTTTTTTCTCATTTTGTCTGTCATAGTTGACGTGTACCTATGATGAAAATTACAGGCCTCTCTCATCTTTTTAAGTGGGAGAACTTGCACAATTGGTGGCTGACTAAATACTTTTTTCCCCCACTGTATTACCAGAAACATGGCAGGTAATCATATTGTATTTTAATTTAAATAATGAATTATTTAGATAAGGCTATATTGGATTCTTTACGACATCAAAGACAGACTGCATTATGAGGTCTATGTGGATGAGTATGGGACTGGTCCAGTTCTGAACAGGTCTTACTCCACAGTCGTATTTACGCAGGAGGGTCCTGGTGAGCTGGTTCAGAGCAGACCTCTTGGGTTTATCTGCTACCAGTTCAGCCAGAGGGGCTGAATGGAAGTCAAGTAGTAAATCAATCATATGAAATTCAACTCATTGATATATAGGATTTCAAAAAATTCCCAGGTTTTCCAGAAATCCTGGTTGGAGCATTCCGATTTTCCTGCTTATTTCCAGGAATCTTCCAACAGGGATTTCTGGAAACCTGGGAATTTGGGGAAAGTTAGCAGAATGTTTAACCCTATTGATATATCAAATAAAATGCCTACCCCATCCATCTTGCATATGACAGAAATCTACCTGATGATTTACGGTATTCATCTGTTCTCAACATGATTATTGTGTAATTTTTTTAAGACAGAATAATCTTCCATGTGTTATGTTTTAAGACATTGTGTCTCCACAACAATTAACTACAATCCACTACTAAGAATGAAAAACATCTTTAGGAAGCATAATGAATAAACATATTATTATCATTAAATTGAAAATATTTTACCATCCATGCATTCATTTATTTGTAAGTGACAGGAAATTGCATGATATTCTTCATTCATCTGTCTCACAGATAGGGTTGCAGAATTCTGGTAACTTTCACAAAATTCCCAGGTTTTCCAGAAATCCCAGTTGGAATATTCCTGGAATCAGGAAGGGAAAAGCTGGAAGTCCGGGAATCCTCCAGTCGGGATTTCTGGAAAAACCTGGGAATTCTGAGGAAGTTACCGGAATTTTGTAACCCTAGTTTCAGAGTTGGTTAAAACCCTGAGATTCAAACAGATGGACTTCCTAAGATCATATTATTGGATTTACAGGATAGGAAACTCACAGAAGGGTTCCATTAAGTCATACATTTGCTATAAAATAACAAATAGCATTATAATAAAACAACACACTCAGACATTGGAATAAGTTCTTTCAATACGACTGGTCATTTCAGACCAAGTTAAAAATGTATTTGAAAACAGTTAATAGCAATGAGTAGAAACTACTGTCATTAACATGTCAATCATCTTTAAATGTTGCCTGTTTCATGTAGACAATTCCTGATAGCACTGACTGGTAAACTGGTCTTTAATGTTTGTATTTAATTCATATTTATGGATATTTAATCCATTGTGTTATAGGTGATTGTAGAAGAGGAAAACTGTGTGAGTGAATCTTACCTGAGCTCAGTAGGAGCCAGAAGACTGATAACATGTTGAGCAACCAGTTTGATACACCTAAATCTCCCCTCCAAAATGTAATGTCAGATGATCTTCAAAGTCATTTTCCTTTCTTTCTGTTTAGTTTCTTTCTGAAATTAATTCTGAATAGTTTGTCTGAAGATGTCTCTTCTTTACTCGGTTTTAACAGTAAATGGACCTGTGTGTGAAAGTTTGTGGCATCTGTATTGATTTTCTATTAGCATGGTAAGATTATACTTTTTTTTACCTTTGGAATTGAGACTGTTCAGCAGCCTGGTCTCATAGACTACACATAACATAGTAAATGTAAATCCGGGACACTCAAATTAGTATGATACGTTATGTTTGGTATGGTTACATAAGACAGATGGTTACTTAACGGCAAAAAAAAAGTTGGTTGGGGTGAATCGGTGGGTGAATCACGGGCAACTTTAGCATTTTAGCTAATTAGCAACTTTTCAACTACTTACTACTTTTTAGTTAGTTTAAAACTACTTAGCATGTTAGATAACCCTTCCCCTAACCTTAACCCTTTTAGCTAACCCTTCCCCTAACCCTAACCCTAACCTTAACCCTTTAACCTAACTCCTAAAACTTAACCCTAACCTTAACCCTAACCCCTAACCCTAACCCTAACCCTTAGCCTAGCTAACATTAGCATATCATACATTTTGCAAATTCGTAACATATTGTACTTTTGCAAATTCGTAACATACAGTACCAGTCAAAGGTTTGGACACACCTACTCATTCAAGGGTTTTTCTTTATTTTTACTATTTTTTACATTGTAGAATAATAGTGAAGATATCAAGACTATGAAATAACACATATGGAATCATGTAGTAAACAAAAAAAGTGTTATACAAATCAAAATATATTTTATATTTGAGATTCTTCAAATAGTCACCCTTTGCCTTGATGACAGCTTTGCACACTCTTGGCTTTCTCTCAACCAGCTTCACCTGGAATGCTTTTCCAACAGTCTTGAAGGAGTTCCTACATATGCTGAGCACTTGTTGGCTGCTTTTCCTTCACTCTGCCGTCCGACTCATCCCAAACCATCTCAATTGGGGGGAGGTCGGGGGATTGTGGAGGCCAGGTCATCTGATGCAGCACTCTATCACTCTCCATCTTGGTAAAATAGCCCTTACACAGCCTAGAGGTGTGTTGGGTCATTGTCCTGTTGAAAAACAAATGATAGTCCCACTAAGCCCAAACCAGATGGGATGGCGTATCACTGCAGAATGCTGTGGTAGCCATGCTGGTTAAGTGTGCCTTGAATTCTAAATAAATCACAGATAGTGTCACCACAAAGCACCCCCACACCATTCCTCCTCCATGCTTTACGGTGGAAAATACACATGCGGAGATCATCCGTTCACCCACACCGCGTCTCACAAAGCCACGGCGGTTGGAACCAAAAATCCACCGGTCTAATGTCCATTGCTCGTGTTTCTTGGCCCAAGCAGGTCTCTTCTTCTTATTGGTGTCCTTTAGTAGTGGTTTCTTTGCAGCAATTTGTACATGAAGGCCTGATTCACACAGTCCCCTCTGAACAGTTTATGTTGAGATGTGTCTGTTACTTGAACTCTGTGAACCATTTATTTGGGCTCCATTTCTGAGACTGGTAACTCTAATGAACATATCCTCTGCAGCAGAGGTAACTCTGGGTCTTCCATTCCTGTGGTGGTCCTCATGAGAGCCAGTTTCATCATAGCGCTTCATGGTTTTTGCGACTGCACTTGAAGAAACGTTCAAAGTTCTTGATATTTTCCGGATTTACTGACCTTCATGTCTTAAAGTAATGATGGACTGTCGTTTCTCTTTGCTTATTTGAGCTGTTCTTGCCATAATATGGACTTGGTCTTTTACCAAATAGGGCTATCTTCTGTATAGCCCTCCTACCTTGTCACAACACAACTGATAGGCTCAAACGCATTAAGAAGGAAAGAAATTCCACAAATGCTGAACTGAACATATCATACTAAATGGAGTGTCTCGGATTTATGTACAAAATAATATGAAATGCTCTGAGACAGCCGCCAGCGCAGTGGCGATTTTAGCATATAAATCTTGGTGGGGAAAACGTAAAAAAACAAAATGTTTGATGCATGCCAGCAAAGCCACAACACTAAACAATACATTAATTGCACTATAACGGTAACAAACGGTGGACACAAACTGTTAGGGCCTACATAAAGCTGTCCCAACAGCAGAGTTGTCTTTTTAGCACCATGGAGGGAATCTTTACCACTGCTACACCTGGCTATCAGCGGAGCCTTGTCTGGCAGCGAAACAGTTCATTCAGCCTAATTTACTGCCTTTTAAAAAAAACATAGCTGATGTGGCTGACTTCCTTAAACAAATATGGTTTCTACTGACAATTGAGATGTACAAACTATGGCATAAGGGAACGATGACCGGATAAGAGGCAATCCATCATTTCGATTAAGACATTAATGAGCGAGCTAAGACGGACATAGTCAATATAGCTATTTGTCCAGCACTTTTGAAATGTACAGCGACAGAATTCAGAACATGGGCCGTTCTTACAGTATTCTCCCTGTACACCAAGTCAGAACCGTATGATAAATAAAGGGGGCATATAAGCAGACAATGAAAGTTCTTACAGTATTCCATGATGACATTTCTCTAAAACAGGTTATAGGCTACATGTGCACCACCAAGTCAGAACAGTAGGCTAAGTTATGAGGTGGCACAGCGGTCCTTGTGGGCAAATTCTCTGGATTTATGGTGCTTTCAAGACAATTGGGAACTCTGAAAAAAACAAGGTCGAATCATGACGTCAGTGATCTTCAGGTCGGAGCTCTAGAAATCCATTGTTGAATTTGCAATTTCCAACTTGTTGTGTAATGTTTATGTCCAATGCAATGGCCGATGAGCACCGATACGTTTTATCTATAATTTCTCTTCATATGACAAGGATTGAAAAGGATTTACCAGTAGATTGTCGACGTGATTCATGATGATGACTGCTTGTCTAGCTTGCTAGCTAAGATTTTGAAAGTAAGATGTTGACATGATCAGTCCAATTAAAGCTACAGTAGATATAATGTGATTTGACGTCATTTTATCTGTGGCCAATGACCTTGAGCATTCTTGGATGGGCACTTCTAATGTAAATCTATGGCAACACCCAAGGGGGCTTGAACTTGCTAGCTCTCCCTGTAGATTTTGCGGCGACTCCCCATGAGTGACAGAACACTGAGCCAATCACGGCGCAACTAGAGAAGATTACCAACCCCTATGCTCTGTATTTTCCACTGGCTGCCCCTCCACCACAGAAAGCACTGAGCTAAGCTGAACACCTACATTTTGGAGCTGCCTTACTCAAGAAAGCAAAAAATAGACCATTTTTGTATGCGGCTTTATTAACTCAATACATGTATTTTTTTTATTTATTTTTTTGCAAACTGATATGGGACACAAAATAACATGCTAAACAGGTTGGGTTCAGAGCCCCACCTGCCCTGAATGATGGGTCGCCACTGCGCCAACGCATAGCTGGAAGATTGCTGTAGATGGCTAGGTAGGCTACGTAACTGCTCATTGATTTAATAAATTAGAGTTTTTAATCCTGATGCTGAGCTAGTGTGTAGCAGCTAATTAACAGCTGTATGACCTGTTGGTAAGATGTTATCTCCCCTGTTGACTGAGGTGAATGAAGCTACAGCAGCCACGATGATAATGTCTGGGGTAATTTTTGCTTGTTCTCCAAATAGCATTTAAGCGTTTTAAAATTGTGTAGAAATGCAGTAAATGAGCTAAAACGCTTAAATGCTATTTGGAGAACAAGCAAAAATTACCCCAGACATTATCATCGTGGCTGCTGTAGCTTCATTCACCTCAGTCAACAGGGGAGATAACATCTTACCAACAGGTCATACAGCAGTTAATTAGCTGCTACACACTAGCTCAGCATCAGGATTAAAAACTCTAATTTAGTAAATGGGAGGAAACCCCCACTCAAGACCCCCCCGGTCACTTTGACATACCCTAGATTTAGCTGAAATGATTGCCTATGATGAACATATTTCATAAGAGTTTATCCTTGCACTGATATACTGTATCAATTGCCCATGACCATAGACGTAACCGCGCGCACCCACGTTGCTTGCACGCGCACGTTTTTTTGACAGGCAAGGACACCACACTGCTTTGCTTGTGTGTGGCTGTTTGACAGATGGAGTTGGTTTGACTACGAAGTAGCGCTGAAGGAATTGGGGAAATAAACAAGAATTTCGGGCTTTGCTGCCATGAGAGTTGAACAACAGAGTGAACATGGGGAAAACTCAACGAATTCGGTGAGCACTAAGTAACGGAGTGGAATGACAATGCAAGTGACATTTCAAAAGCTCTAACCTTGCATGAGATTGTTAAGAACTAACCAAAACACATAACGTTACAGCCTACATTGTCTGTGTGGACAGCCACTAAATTATATATCACGACACGACCTTATTCCTCAGTGAAACAGTGAATGACACAGTTGTTTCAATTACCTCAAGTGTGGGAAATTCTGTGTTTCTAAACGGTTGTCACTAAGTATCCTGTCCTGAAAAGATGTTTGACAATTTGTCTCGTTCAACGTATCACGACAACCAGTTGGCAAAATAGTTATGTTATTTTCAATCAATCTTTTAAATAACAACAGTAATCAGAGAAAGGTAATCTTTCAAAACCACTATAACAACATACATACCATCAGTTTTGGCATATACACCAGTGTCTTAACTGGACAAAACCCCATCAGCTTTCATTTTTTATAGTTAATCTTAAACAATATGTCTCGATCCCATTTTATAGCATGATGATAACTGTATTTTTTCCCCAATTAATGTCTATCTACAGTCATCTGTGTCAGGGGTCTGTGGTGGCTTTTTGTGTGTGTCAGAGAAACACCCACTGCCTTTGTCACTCAAACCCCGGTGGCATGGTGAGTGGAATGATAAACAGAGGCGCTAGCTATCCATGTCAGGGCCCAAAATAGAGGCGGACCAAGAGGCTAAGATAGACCCCAGCTCTCCATATAAGTCTGCATGGTCCCAGGTCTGTGTGTCTGGCTGCCTTCACACTGTTACCCTGACATGTCCACCTGCTGCTATGGGGGTGAGGGCTTTATATAGCCTCACTCCCCTTAGCTGGCCCATATTATTTTAACTGTTTAGCCACTACTGATCCGGTGTATCACTTCAAAGCCTCAGCTATGGCTGGTTAAGAATACTTTTAGTTGCATTGTATTAGGTATAAATGGATGATGACTTATGTACGCTATGAATGAGTGATGTTGAACTTACACTGAGTGTACAAAACATCAAGGACTCTACAAGGTGTCTAAAGCATTCCACAGGGATGCTGGCCCATGTTGACTCCAATCCTTCCCACAGTTGTGTCAAGTTGGCTGGATGTCCTTTGGGGGGTGGACCATTCTTGATACCAATGGGAAACTGTTGAGCGTGAAAAACCCAGCAGCGTTGCAGTTCCTGACACAAACTGGTGCGCCTGGCACGTACTACCACACCCTGTTCAAAGACACTTAAATATTTTGTCTTGCCCATTCACCCTCTGAATGGCACACATACACAATCTATGTCTCAATTGTCTCAAGGCTTAAAAATCCTTCTTTAACCTGTCTCCTCCCCTTCAGCTACACTGATTGAAGTGGATTTAACAATGACATCAATAAGGGATCATATATTTCACCTGGATTCACCTGGTCAGTCTATGTCATGGAAAGAGTAGGTGTTCTTAATGTTTTGTACACTTAGGGTATTTACCAGTCTGCGGACTTAGGTGAGACTTATCTGATCTCGCAAATTGGCAGACCGTAAACAATGGGCATAGCTTTGAGGGAATGTTTCAGTTGGTTCCATCCCATTAATGTGGCATGTTTGTAATTTGTTAAGGCAGTGTTTCCCAGGGCCTCCCAAGTAGTGCAGTGGTCTAAGGCACTGCATCGAAGTGCTAGCTGTGCCACTAGAGATCCTGGTTCGAGTCCAGGCTCTGTCGTAGCCGGCCGCGACTGGGAGACCCATGGGGCGGCGCACAATTGGCCCAGCGTCTTCCAGGGTAGGGTAGGGTTTGGCTGGCAGGGATGTCCTTGTCCCATCGCGATCTAGCGACCCCTGTGGCGGGCCCGGGCGCAGTGCACGCTGACTTGGTCGCCAGGTGTACAGTGTTTCCTCCGACACATTGGTGCGGCTGGCTTCTGGGTTAAGCGGGCACTGTGTCAAGAAGCAGTGCGGCTCGGTTGGGTTGTGTTTCGGAGGATGCACGACTCTCGACCTTCGCCTCTCCCGTGTCTGTACGGGGGTTGCAGCGATGGGACAGGGACTGTAACTACTACCAATTGGATACCACAAAATTGGGGAGAAAAAGGGGTTAAAATCCCCCCCCCCCCCAAAAAAAAAAGGCAGTGTTTCCCGAACTGGTCCTTGTGACCCTCAGCCACTCCACATATTATATAGCACACCTGATTCAACTAGACAACTAATCAGGTGTGTTAGTGTTGGAATAGATCAAATACAGGTTTGTGCAGGACTGGGACCGGTTTGGGAAACATTGGGTTTGAGTACCGACGTGGTGGTGGAACATATGGCCTCACATAGACTCATATGGCCTCACATAGACTCCGGCAACACTACTCCAGTTAAAAATGGACCTAGTAATGTGGACTGGAGGTGACATATGCACAAATCATTTTGATATGCTCTCTGTCTCTTTTTCTCAACCCAACCTGGACTCGGGGGTAGCCGTAACATAGTAAACGTTAATCCAGTACACTCCAATTAGTATGATATGTTAAGTTTACATTTACATTTACATTTACATTTACGTCATTTAGCAGACGCTCTTATCCAGAGCGACTTACAAATAGGTGCATTCACCCTATAGCCAGTGGGATAACCACTTTACAATATTTTTATTTTATTTTATTTTTTTAGGGGGGGGGGGGGGGGGGGGGGGGGGGGGTAGAAGGATTACTTTATCCTATCTCAGGTATTCCTTAAAGAGGTGGGGTTTCAAATGTCTCCGGAAGGTGGTGAGTGACTCCGCTGTCCTGGCGTCGTGAGGGAGCTTGTTCCACCATTGGGGTGCCAGAGCAGCGAACAGTTTTGACTGGGCTGAGCGGGAACTATGCTTCCGCAGAGGAAGGGGAGCCAGCAGGCCAGAGGTGGATGAACGCAATGCCCTCGTTTGGATGTAGGGACTGATCAGAGCCTGAAGGTACAGAGGTGCCGATCCCCTCACAGCTCCATAGGCAAGCACCATGGTTTTGTAACAGATGCGAGCTTCAACTGGAAGCCAGTGGAGTGTGCGGAGGATAGGGGTGACATGAGAGAACTTGGGAAGGTTGAACACCAGACGGGCTGCGGCATTCTGGATGAGTTGTAGGGCTATGCATGACTAGTGGTAATAACTTGAATTGTTAGGCTATGCATGACCAGTGTTAACTTGAATTGTTAGGCTATGCATGACTAGTGTTAACTTGAATTGTTAGGCTATGCATGACTAGTGTTAATAACTTGAATTGTTAGGCTATGCATGACTAGTGTTAATAACTTAAATGCATGACTAGTGGTAATACCTATATTTTAATATGGTATGTATTAATTTGTGGATGTCCATCATCCATTTCGTATGATAAATTACGAATTACAATTCTTATGATATGTTACAAATTGCAATTTGTACAATATGTTACAAATTGGAATATTCGTACAATATGTTACAAATTTGAAAAACATATGATATTTTACGAATTCCAATTTGTTGTGGCTAACGTTAGCTAGGTGGCTAACGTTAGCTAGGCTAGGGGTTAAGGTTAGGGTTAGGAGTTAGGTTAAATGGTTAAAGTTAGGGGAAGGGTTAGCTAACATGCTAAGTAGTTGCAAAGTAGGTAATTAGCTGCTAAAATGCTGAAGTTGTCCATGATGAGATTATCAACCTAGCCCCAGAGACAAAAAAAATCCATCAATCTTACAGTTGTAATAAAAGAGCTCCATAGCTCATCTGAGTAATTATTACTCAGCAATACTCTGTCACGCTAATCAGGGTTAAAGGATTGGAGTTTAAAGGAAAGGACTGGAAAAGATAACCTCTAGAACGTGAACTCTTTCCAATCTTGCCAGGAAGGTCATATGAACAATTGCATACCTTCATTGTAGAGACTATTTTCACCCTAGCAACAGGTTAACGGAAAGCCTTTTGTTCTTCATTGACGTTATGTCACTCCTCAGAGCCAGATGCTGATCAACCAGCTGAGGGAGATCACTGGTATCCAAGACCCACAGATCCTCCTCAGGGCCCTTAATGTGAGTACCAAACACTGTGGACAGACAGGCAGATAGGCTTAGGTTCTGCCTGCTTAATCAGTATAACGTTGTCATATTGTAGATAGATAGATAGATAGACAGTAACCTAAGCCAACTCAAAGTTTATTGATTTCTGCTTGGTGGTCCAGGCCTATCATACACCTAAACCATTTCTTAGATATTGTTCAGCTAAATGATTGGCCTGTCTCAATGACACTATGAGAGGACTTCAAGGTAGGTCCTGAAGACACTCTGGGAACAAATGTTTTTATTACCACGTCTTGATTTGATTAATTGTGTTGTGACATGATATTAGCTGTATGCCGTGTCAGAGACCAATGATGTAGTGTCTAAGAAGACAACTGTGAGATGATGTCATGCCTACACCATTAGTCAATGAGCATGAACTAGTTGGAGGGAAAACCTGCATATAGTACATTTGAGCTATGAACATTTCAGGTCGTTGTTGCAAAAGAGTTCTCAGCAACTTACGTGCTTGAAAGTCAAAATAAAGTCCATTGTCACAGACATTTTTGTCAGCCGGCTCTCTCACCAGGCTTTTGACCATTGTCTTGAGATAGCCTATATTTCCCGGTCAGTCCCCGGAACAAATCCTTTAGAAGGACTCTGTCACGTAGAGGTCAAACTTAAGGTTAGGGGTAGCCGTTTGCCTAGATGCCAGTTTATCTCTGCTTTAGCTGCTCTGTCCTTTGTCAGAGTTGTTAATATCAGAAACAGACTGGCACCAGGCCAGGGAGTTCTGGGAAAAGACACATTGTAATGCCTACTCTTATATCTCTGATATCAGGCCAGTCAGGGGGACATCAGCCATGCTGTTGGGCTGCTGACCACACAGCCACCAGAGGAGGGCCAGGGGACTGAGGACACCCCAGACACAGAAGTCAACAGGGAGGCCTGGGGGGGCCAGAAAGGTAGGCTGGAAGTTGAGAAGGAAAGTCTCTAAGGAAAGGAGCAAAATACTGAAGGTCTGGTGATGAACGAAGAAGATAATTGGTTTCCCAATGCAAACTGATTTCTGTTGTTGAGTACATCAAAGCTATGCAAACTTGTGACTCTCCATCATTCTGAAATTTCCTCAGGTGCTCCTCCTAAAGATGACCTTCAGACAGCCATTGAGCTCAGCTTGCAAGAATCCCAGGCAGAGGAGCGAGAGCTCAACAGGTATAGTAGTCCAGTACCTCACCATTTCCCCTTTGTTTGCTGTTTTCTTGCTGAACGAAGTCACCAATTGAGAGTCATCTCTCAATTAAAAAGTTATATTATCTGAAGTGAACACAGAGGTACTGTATGAGCAATAGATAACGTCAACGAAAAAGGAATACCAGGGTCCTGTTCATAAGAGCATGCAACAGAAAATGTATTTCTTATTGGACCCTCCCCATTTTTGTCAGTTTTCTTCCATTTGGTGCCAAATGAACACAACCCAGGTGTAACTCTCAATCAGACCATTGTCTACAGTTGATGAGTGGCATGTTTTGGTGTGTTCCAGGGCGCTGGAGGCCAGCGTGGAGGACAGTGCTGCACGGGTGAAGAGGAAGCGCTGCGAGGCCCAAGGAGAGAGCTGCAGCCCTGCAGACTGGATCCGCCAGGAGGAGTGGCCCGTGGGCATCCGCAATGTGGGCAACACCTGCTGGTTCAGTGCCGTCATACAGGTGAGGTACACACAATATACACAAAAATACACAGTCATTAACAGTGTCTGCTCTGGAGCTTGCACTTTAAAATATACACAAAATATATGCACAGTAAAATAGAATTGTGCCAGTGAGATGAACAGGATAAAAAGTTAAGTAGAACATTTGGGTTTGTGCTGTGGACCTTGTTCATGCTTTGCCATTTAAGACCACCTGTTGTATCACCAGTCGGGTCCTTGCTGTTACTAAGGTTGATGTCGTACAGTAAAGGTTGTATTTGAATTTTGCAGAATCTGCAGAATCCCTTGGACTCCTATGGTCTCTATAATATGACCTTGACTTTTCTGCACCACCTCCTAATTGGTGTATATGTGATAACCATGTTTAGAACCTCTCTCCGTTTTCCGAAACCTTTCAAGACTTCTGGTGTGACTCGGTTCAAAATATTACCACTAGGAGAGAAGGCCTCAAACACATGTTTGCGTCCAATTCGCTGAACGATGTCGACTTCTGTCAAGAGATATTACCTGACTTCTCACTCTGCTTTCTCGACTGAAACCAAACATTTCAGAACATATCGTTTCAAACTGTTGCCACACAATCAAGCCATATTGTGTTAATTGAGTTGTCGGTAATACCAGGAGGATGGGGAAAGATGAGGTGCAGTGGTGGGGTAAGGGTTTTTACTTTCCAAACGCAAAAGCTTCATGGTGCTCTAATTCTATTAAGAGTCCATTCCAGACTAAATTTAGCCGGGCCTATCAGGTGGATCTGCTGAAATTCAAGCCTACATTGATATTGATAGACTGCAAGGGTAATTAAATAGTGCAGTGTTGTGATGATAGAGCGAGCGATGAACTCTGCAGCCTGGACTGAAATTAGTTTATATCTGTAGATTAGGCCAAATGGGAACGCTCATGTGTCTTAATTTAGTTCAGATATGCGCCACATCGATTAAAGCACCAAAAACCCAAAGGAAATATAATCAGGGGATAGGAATGCATGCACACATTTTGAGTGGCTGAGAAGTCGTTTGAAATCGTTGCATTTTAAATCCAGCCTTTTATTTGACTCTTTCCATCACAATTTGCCAATAGAATGTAGTTATCTGATTGAGACTCGCTGTATGACCGCATGTGGCTGTGTACTCATATTTCTGTTGTATCTGGTGTGGTACGCTTTACAGTAAGATTGTGATAAGCTGTAATTAAGTTTCTGGGAAATGAGAAAGTAGAGAAGACACACAGGCCTAATGCGATCAAAAACATGGGTATATTGTTGTTGCTTCAAAACTGCACTTAAGTCTCCATTATTTTGTATTGTATATGTTACACAGAGTTAAGATTTAGAAATAAAACACACTATAGTTCGCCAGCATCGATGAAGTGTCTTTTCACTAACTAATATAAAGATAAAATTATCTAATTTATTCGTCTTATGAGACGAAAATTACCATCACCCTGTCTCATACAGTAAAGTTATATCTCAATGGCATTTTCTTTTGTTTGCTTAACTGTGACTCTCATGTGTTAAAACCTCCATAAGTATCCTCGACAATGACATTTTACACATGAAAAGACAGACAGAGTGATGGAAAGGTGACCAATATCATCTTTGTCTCTTATTTCAGTCCCTGTTCCACCTGCCAGTGTTCCGCAGATTGGTACTTAACTACTGCCTGTCTGAGCGAATCCTGGAGAAGTGTAAGAGCCACTCGGTGAGTGTCCAATGGAGGGCCAGGAGCCCTGAGGAACAGAGAAGGGACCTTTGGGTCCCAGAGGCTGAAGAGTCAGGGGATGTCTGGCTGGTGTTAGAGGGGAAACTAGACTACAGGGTTATAGAGTGTGCATAAAGATAGTGGGTAACACTTAATAGTAACTTCCATGAAGAAGCATTGATAAACCATTTATAAACAGTGTAGGCTACATGCTATAATCAAATGTTATAAAAATGTATATACGTTTATAAGAATTATAAGAAAGGCTCATGAAAGTTATTATTAAGTGTAAGTACAAAGTTATATGGACCCCTCTGCATATGGCGATATATTGTTGAAAACAGGTAAAAAATCAGTAAAGCGTTACCCAGGTTTTCCAGTGCAGCTCTGTGAAGTGAGAAAAGCCTAACATACGCCTGTGTTCTCAGGACAAGAGGAACATAGCCTTCATGCAGGAGCTCCGCTGTCTCTTTGCTCTCATGGTGGGCTCCACTCGCAGGTTTGTGGACCCGTCTGCTGCCGTAGAGCTTTTGAGAGATGCTTTCAGATCCAGTGAGGCCCAACAGGTACACACTGAGGTCCAACAGGTACACGCACACGTGCATGCACACTTGTGTCAGTGCATGCGCACACACGCACACACACACACACACACACACACACACACACACACACACACACACACACACACACACACACACACCTGGGTCATGGACACCACTTTACAACAACTGCTTTGTATACAAAGATGTTAATTTCAGATGTGTTAATTCTAGGATGTGAGTGAGTTCACCCACAAACTCCTTGACTGGCTTGAAGATGCCTTTCAGCTGGCTGCTAATGGAAAGTAAGTCAAGGATTTGATCCTTAACAGTCAGTTCTGTACGAAAGCACATATTTATTGTCATAGCTAACCAGGGACGCAACTTTCACTGGGGACATGTTCCCCCCACATTCTGAGATTGCCTAGTTTTATCATTGGAATGTGATACAAAACAAGGCAACGGTGTGCTTTAGGACCATGCAGACACCACCGAGCAGTCGGGTAGGCTGTTTGGAGTGTTTATCCGACTGGATAAAAAAATTAAAAAATAAAATATTATGTCCCCTCCACTTCTAAAACCAAAGTTGCGCCCACTTCTAAAACCAAAGTTGCGCCCCTGTAGCTAACTAAGATTCCATAGCTACTGTAATTGGTTCAGCTATCTGACATTGTCGTTCCATTATTGACATTCCAGTACTGTAGTCCCGTGTAGCTCAGTTGGTAGAGCATGGCGTTTGCAACGCCAGGGTTGTGGGTTCGTTTCCCACGGGGGGCCAGTATGAAAAAAAAAAAAATTATAATAATAATAAAATGTATGCACTCACTAACTCTAAGTCGCTCTGGATAAGAGCGTCTGCTAAATGACTAAAATGTAAATATAAATGTACTGAACATAAAATAAGTATTCCTATTACTGTACCAGTATTATTTGTGTCTTGACGTACAATAAATCAGATATTGAATTGCTCGAGGTATAAAAGTGATCTTATCTTTAGTAGCCCGGAAGATAAAAAAGAAAACCCAATGGTTCAGCTGTTCTATGGGACATTTGTGGCAGAGAGAACTCATGCGGGTAAGTATAGAATGGACATTTCATTTTGATTATACTGTAGGGCCTTGAGTATTTCCTGATCACCTGACCTGACCAGGAAAAGCTCGTTTTTAGGCTATGACCGTAGTCACTATCATTAAAGGGCTATGACCCTGTATGACTAGTCATAATCTGATACAGCCATTTTGTAGGCCCCAGAGTTTTTCCTGCTGAGGTCACATGGTGAAGAAAAACTCCTGACCCTTCTTATGCAATCCGTATTCTTTCTGTCAATTCACATCGATGTTTGACCATGTGTAGGCAAGACCTTATCCAACATCGAGCAGTTTGGCCAGTACCCCTTACAAGTGAACGGTTTCAACAACTTGGATGAATGTCTTGAAGGCGCCATGGTAGAAGGGGAGATTGAAGCCCTACATTCGGATCAAACCATTTCGTCTGGCAGCGAGGTGAGCATACCAAACTCCTAGCTTTATGTTTACTCTGAAAGTTGTTGTGAATGTTAAGCCAAGTAAATATGAATGTAAATGTAATAGAAATAGAAATGTATATGGAAATGTTAATTTGGATGTGAATTCTCTCTGTTCCAGAGGTGGTTCTCAAAGTTACCACCAGTGTTGACCTTTGAACTGTCCAGGTTTGAATTCAACCAGTCTTTAGGACGCCCAGAAAAGATTCACAAGAAACTAGAGTTCCCACAAATCATATATATGGACAGGTGAGCTGTTTGATATTCATTTGAGAAAAAAACAAAATCTATGTATATTTACAGTGGGGGAAAAAAGTATTTAGTCAGCCACCAATTGTGCAAGTTCTCCCACTTAAAAAGATGAGAGAGGCCTGTAATTTTCATCATAGGTACACGTCAACTATGACAGACAAAATTAGAAAAAAAAATCCAGAAAATCACATTGTAGGATTTTTAATGAATTTATTTGCAAATTATGGTGGAAAATAAGTATTTGGTTAATAACAAAAGTTTCTCAATACTTTGTCATATACCCTTTGTTGGCAATGACACAGGTCAAACGTTTTCTGTAAGTCTTCACAAGGTTTTCACACACTGTTGCTGGTATTTTGGCCCATTCCTCCATGCAGATCTCCTCTAGAGCAGTGATGTTTTGGGGCTGTCGCTGGGCAACACGGACTTTCAACTCCCTCCAAAGATTTTCTATGGGGTTGAGATCTGGAGACTGGCTAGGCAACTCCAGGACCTTGAAATGCTTCTTACGAAGCCACTCCTTCGTTGCCCGGGCGGTGTGTTTGGGATCATTGTCATGCTGAAAGACCCAGCCACGTTTCATCTTCAATGCCCTTGCTGATGGAAGGAGGTTTTCACTCAAAATCTCACGGTACATGGCACCATTCATTCTTTCCTTTACACGGATCAGTCGTCCTGGTCCCTTTGCAGAAAAACAGCCCCAAAGCATGATGTTTCCACCCCCATGCTTCACAGTAGGTATGGTGTTCTTTGGATGCAACTCAGCATTCTTTGTCCTCCAAACACGACAAGTTGAGGCTTTGTTACTTTGGTCCCAGCTCTCTGCAGGTCATTCACTAGGTCCCCCTGTGTGGTTCTGGGATTTTTGCTCACCGTTCTTGTGATCATTTTGACCCCACGGGGTGAGATCTTGCGTGGAGCCCCAGATCGAGGGAGATTATCAGTGGTCTTGTATGTCTTCCATTTCCTAATAATTGCTCCCACAGTTGATTTCTTCAAACCAAGCTGCTTACCTATTGCAGATTCAGTCTTCCCAGCCTGGTGCAGGTCTACAATTTTGTTTCTGGTGTCCTTTGACAGCTCTTTGGTCTTGGCCATAGTGGAGTTTGGAGTGTGACTGTTTGAGGTTGTGGACAGGTGTATTTTATACTGATAACAAGTTCAAACAGGTGCCATTAATACAGGTAACGAGTGGAGGACAGAGGAGCCTCTTAAAGAAGAAGTTACAGGTCTGTGAGAGCCAGAAATCTTGCTTGTTTGTAGGTGACCAAATACTTATTTTCCACCATAATTTGCAAATCAATTCATTAAAAATCCTACAATGTGATTTTCTGGATTTTTCTTTCTCAATTTGTCTGTCATAGTTGACGTGTACATATGATGAAAATTACAGGCCTCTCTCATCTTTTTAAGTGGGAGAACTTGCACAATTGGTGGCTGACTAAATACTTTTTTCCCCCACTGTATGTGTGTTCATATGTATCTAAACATATGCAGTGCTGTGAAAATGTATTTGCCCCCTTTCAAATTTTATCTACTTTTGCATATTTTTGATACTGAATGTTATCAGATCTTCAACCAACACCTAATATTAGATCAAGGGAACCTGAATGAACAAATAACACAACAATTACATACTTATTTCATTTATTTCATAAACAAAGTTATGCAAAACCCAATGCTCCTGTGTGAAAAAGTAATTGCCCCCTTACACTCAATAACTGGTTGTGCCACCTTTAGCTGCAATGACTCCAACCAAACTCTTCCTGTAGTTGTTGATCAGTTTCTCACGTCGCTGTGGAGGTAGTGTGATGGTTTATATTTAAGCAATAAGGCCCAAGGGGTGTGGTATATGGCCAATATACCATGGCTAAGTGCTGTTCTTACGCATGACGCAATGCAGAGTGCCTGTATACAGTCCTTAGCCGTGGTATATTGGCCATATACTGTAACACAAAACCCCGAGGTGCCTTATTGCTATTATAAACTGGTTACCAATGTAATTAGAACAGTAAAAATAAATGTTTTGCTATACCCCGTGGTATACGGTCTGATATACCATGGCTGTCAGCCAATCAGCATTCAGGGCTTGAACCACCCAGTTTATAATCATATTGAGTATCGGCATTCATTTAGACTGACCATTGTATTGCATTGTAATGATGATACTGTAAGTGGGGAATCCGAGTCAAATAAACTTTTGTTGTGGTAAACTAAGTTTACTGTATGCGAACAGATACCTTCACAAGAACAATGAGCAGACCCACAACAGGAGAGGAGAGGTGAAGAGACTGAAGGAGCAGCTCATAGTCCTGCAGCAGAAACTGGAATGGTGAGTTTACTATCGAGTTTACTGTTTGTAAAGCAGGGTGACACATCAGGTTTGTACACGCCAATACACGTGTTCTTTTAGTTAATCATTTTTCATTGAAAAAGTCAGTGATGACTGCAACAGGATGGATACCTCCAAATGTGTCCATTGAAAGTGAATGAATCATGAGTTAGTAGAAAAACTGTCATACACGCAGTGGTCCCATAATATTAGTATTTTGATTCACGTAGGAAATGTCCTGCTCATGAGTCATGACCGACAATGTTATTGATGAAACTTGCTTGTAATTGTTTGCCAATTTACTGTCAGTTCAACCTCTGTCTCCTTCTGTTTCCAGCTACAGAAACTATGGCTCAGGGCCGACAAAGTATCCCCTGGCAGACATGTTACAGTACGTGTTGGAGTTTGCCTCCACTAAGCCCACTAGTGTCTCCCCAGCTGAAGATGTGAGGCTGGGTGCCTCTTCCCCCACTCCCCCCAGCAGCAACACCCAGCATACAGAGGCCAACCCTGACGACACCAGGCAAGGACCTCTTGGACAACTTTGTCTCACTAGTCAAGGCTATGAGTGAATTTCTAGTTTATTGTGCTTACACAAAATCTAGTCCTGCCACACTTACCGTTACTCAATATGACCGCAGTGCCAGCTGCTGAAGAGAGCGTAAACACTTTGTTACGTGTTCCTACCTAGAATGTCAATGTGAAGTCAGTCAATTCAGGACATAATTGAAAATCAGTTAATACATTTGAAACTCCTAGTAAAAAATGATGGGAAATAGATTTCTATTTATTCCATTTAATTTCTGAAATGAAATTTACCAAAACCCTGTAATGTTTTACCTGTTAGCCTATGTATAGTACATCAGTCACTGTCTTTACTGTATTTTTTCATGCCAACCCCATTTGTTTACATCCTGCTTTTCCTCTGTGGGTCTCCTCAGTCAGTGCCAGGAGCCAGGAGACACAGGCCCATCCGACAGCACCACCTGCCAGCAACAGCCCCCCTCGGGCCAGAGGACACCCATCTACAAGCCCTTCACCCAGTGCAGACCCCCCATGGATACCCCACCTCACCCCGCCCCTCACAGTGTGACCGAGGAAGAGCTGCGCTTTGTCAAGACCTGCCTGCAGCGCTGGAGGACAGAGGTGGAGAACAACATGAACGGTACAGTGATTTACACCTTGATTCACTAATGATAACCTCTCTGTATTTGGGGTCAAAATATTTTATTTTTTATTGTACATTAAAGCCACACTGTAAGATATGCATAGCACCAACATTTTAGCAATGGATCTAATACATCCCATGACATTTTGACATGCAAATAGTACTTGATTTATATCATATATCTGTAGTGATTGGGAAATTACATTCCATGAGAGCAAGTTTAATTTTTAAAGATGATTTGAAGCTATATTTGATCATGCTAATTTACTGTACATTTCTAGTGATCGTTTTTCAATTGGATGTGTATCATGAGCTGAAAGCCTATCCTGGCTGTCAGTCAGTTATCCCAGAGTGTCTACTCTAGAGAGTGTGTGTGTGTGTGTGTGTGTGTGTGTGTGTGTGTGTGTGTGTGTGTGTGTGTGTGTGTGTGTGTGTGTGTGTGTGTGTGTGTGTGTGTGTGTGTGTGTGTGTGTGTGTGTGTGTGTGTGTGTGTGTGTGTGTGTGTGTGTGTGTGTGTGTGTGTCTGGCACGGCCCCAGGTGCACTGCATTGATCTGTGTGTCTGTGTCTCGGTGCTCAGAGCTAAAGGCCAGCATCGACAGGGTCAGCCTTGCACTGGAGGCCATGTACTCGGATAACAGCCTGTGTCAGGTAAGATCCCTCGTACTCATCTATCTGACATTCTGTGTCAGGTTAAAGCATGTGATACACTAATATCACTTTGTCAGGTTGAACATGTGTCACAAGCGTTGCATAATGATTCATCTCAGAACCCAGACCCAAATCTTGTGTAGGTACTCGATTTAGCATTTTGTTAACGGTCTGTCACAAGAGACAAGACTGATTAACAGTATCCCACACACTGAAAAACATTCTTACAATGTTTCCATTGGCAATGAGTGAGATATTGTTGCCTTAGCATGTGTGCATTATCACATTATCACGATGCAGCACCATTGTGGGTGGGAACAGAGAGTGCATGGGTGTTGAATGTCATGAGAAGTTAATAACAAGAATGTAATGAGTTCAGTATATGTAATGAGATGCCATGGCATGCTATGCTATGCTAGTAACAAAGCAGAGGTTATAAAAAGCTTTTGGTTGATGTGTGCAGAAGCAATTATAGAATGTCTGAAACATTTTTAGTCCTAATCCTTTGTTTAATGTGTACACGTGCCAATACCGAAGATTTCTGCTGAAACATGAATTTCTGGGACCTAAAGTTCTTGTTTGAATGTGCACCGGCCAATACAGAAAGATTCGGCTGAAACTTCTACTTTTCTGGTCCTAACCTCTTGTTTGACGTGTGAAGGTGCCGTACAGGCTTCACGCTGTCCTCGTCCACGAGGGCCAAGCCTCGGCCGGCCACTACTGGGCTTATATCTACGACCACGCCAACCAGCGCTGGATGAAGTACAACGACGTCATCGTCAGCGAGTCCTCCTGGGAGGAGCTGGTCAGAGACTCGTACGGAGGCATGACCAACGCCAGCGCCTATTGTCTAATGTACATCGACGACAGGCTGCCTCACCTCATCGCAGGTACCCATATCCCTCCACCCCATTCCACTGAGAAACTAGCTATGGTTCTTTACTGGTTCTAACAGCAGACTTATCAGCTTGCTGCCAGCTCTTAGCAAACTGCTACTTCTCTGTAAATAAATTAACAACAGACTTTCAGCATGCTTATAGAGAAGGGCACTCAACATGTACTACACTGACACAAATGACTGATGATTGGTTGAAAGAAATGGATAATAAGAAGAGCTATACTGTTAGATTTCAGTGCAGCCTTTGATATGATTAACCATACCTGTTGTTGAGGAAACTTGTGTGTTATGGCTTTTCAACCTCTGCCATATCGTGGATTCAGCGCTATCTATCTAATAGAACTCAGAGGTTATTTCTTTAATGGAAGCTTCTCTAATGTCAAACATGTAAAGTGTGGTGTACCGCAGGGCAGCTCTCTAGGCCCTCTACTCTTTTCTATTTTTACCAATGACCTGCCATTAAACAAAGCATGTGTGTCCATGAATGCTGATGATTCAACCATATACACATCAGCAACTACAGCTAATGAAGTCACTGAAACCCTTAACAAAGAGTTGAAGTCTGTTTTGGAATGGGTGGCCATTGTATTTGGTACAAATCATTCCCTAAGTTCTAGACCTCAGCTGAATCTGGTAATGAATGGTGTGGCTGTTGAACAAGTTGAGGAGAAGTAAATTACTTGGTGTCACCTTAGATTGTAAACTGTCATGGTCAAAACATATAGATTCAATGATTGTAAAGATGGGGAGAGTTCTGTCTGTAATAAAAAGATGCTCTGCTTTTTTGACACCACATTCCACAAAGCAAGTCCTGCAGGCTCTAGTTTTATCTTATCTTGATTATTGTACTCTGATATGGTCAAGTAACTGATAGATGCACACACACACTACATGTTAATGTTTTTAAATGTCTGTAAATTGTAAAGTGTTTTGTCTGTAATGTATTTTTCGTTATATGTCGGACTCCAGTAAGACTAGCTGTCGCCATTGGCGTCGGCTAATGGGTATCCCAAAAAAATTATCAAATAGAATGTATTCCAGGGACCAAAAACATATCAGCTAAATTAATTTGGACTGAAATCGTGCTCAGCTAAATTAATTTGGACTGCCTGCTGGCACTGTCCAGCGAGCAGAGCTCCATGTCTCTTTGAGCACACAGATGCCACAGCAGGTACGCTTGGCCTCAGGGCAAGTATCAAGCCCCAGCCCAGGGCCAAACAGAAGGCTCAAGTTGACATGTCACAGTGCTGTTTACATCTAACCATACCTATACTGTATCTACACTATATATACAAAAGTATGTGGACACCCCTTCAAATTAGTGGATTCGGCTATTTCAGCCACACCTGCTGACAGGTGTATAAAATCGAGCACACAGCCATGCAATTGCCATAGACAAACATTGGCAGTAGAATGGCCTTACTGAAGAGCTCAGTGACTTTCAATGTGGCACCGTCATAGGATGCCACTTTTCCAACAAGTCAGTTCGTCAAATATCTGCACTGCTAGAGCTGCCCCGGTCAACTGTAAGTGCTGTTATTGTGAAGTGGAAAAGTCTAGGAGCAACAACGGCTCAGCTGCGAAGTGGTAGGCCACACAAGCTCACAGAACGGGACCGCTAAGTGCTGAAGTGCGTAGCGCGTAAAAATCGTCTGTCCTCAGTTGCAACACTCACTACCGAGTTCCAAACTGCCTCTGGAAGCAATGACAGCACAAGAACTGTTCGTCGGGAGCTTCATGAAATGGGTTTCCATGGCCAAAGAGCTGCACACAAGCCTAAGATCACCATGCGCAATGCCAAGCGTCAGCTGGAGTGGTGTAAAGCTCGCCGCCATTGGACTCGGTAGCAGTGGAAACGCGTTCTCTGGAGTGATGAATCATGCTTCACTATCTGGCAGTCCGACGGACTAATCTGGGTTTGGTGGATGCCAGGAGAACGCTACCTGCCCCAATGAATAGTGCCAACTGTACAGCTTGGTGGAGGAGGAATAATGGTCTGGGGCTGTTTTTCATGCTTCGGTCTAGGCCCCTTAGTTCCAGTGAAGGGAAAATCTTAACGCTACAGCATACAATGACATTCTAAACAATTCTGTGCTTCCAACTTTGTGGCAACAGTTTTGGGAAGGCCCTTTACTGTTTCAGCATGACATTGCCCCCGTGCACAAAGCGAGGTCCATACAGAAATGGTTTGTTGAGATCGGTGTGGAAGAACTTGACTGGCCTGCACAGAGCCCTGACCTCAACCCCATCGAACACCTTTGGGATGAATTGGAATGCTGACTGCGAGCCAGGCCTAATCGCCCAACATCAGTGCCCGACCTCACTAATGCTCTTGTGGCTGAATGGAAGCAAGTCCCCGCAGCAATATTTCAACATCTAGTGGAAAGCCTTCCCAGAAGAGTGGAGGCTGTTATAGCAGCAAAGAGGGGACTAACTCCATTATTAATGTCCATGATTTTGGAATGAGATGTTCGACAAGCAGGTGTCCACATACTTTTGGTCATGTAGTGTATACCTGCTATATCTGTCCACACTGTAACTGCTTCACTTGATCTATACATAAATACATTTATGAATATCCAATACATGGCCTGACCAGGTGTTAGGTTTTGTAGACCTGACCGGTTTATCTACATAGTTTTTCAGTGTATGCTGCTTAGTAGTTTAGGTTACTATTGACTGTTATCAGTTAGCTCGTTGTGATTGTTATATTTATGATATATTATGTCCACAGAGGACACAGATGACGAGACAGGCCAGGTCATGCAGGCCATGGATTCCCTGCCACCCATCCTCAGGCGCTACGTGCGCGAGGACAACCGCTGGTTCCAGCAGGAGCTCAAGGAGTGGGAAGACCAGTTCTGCCAGCAGCCACAGGAGGAACCATCAACCCCCACAGCAGCCGTCACCTCCACTCGTGCTCCCAGTAAAGACGACCCAGCAGAACCAGTCCCCCAACCTGGGCCTGCCCAGGAACCCACTGGGGAACAGGAACATGAGGCAGAATCGGTTGTTAAACCAGCTATGGAATCTGGAGGTTGGTCTGGACATACATTTATATGTCAGAGTTACACAATTCTGGTCTTTGAGGGTGGCGGTGTATGCTGGTTTTCATCCTTGTCTTTTAGTCACCACATTTGGCCAAGCACTATTGTCTCTGTCTGTCTGTCTGTCTGCCGATGGTGATGAATCAGTTTCGCTCTCTCCATAAAATTGATAAAGTTTATTTAATTCAAAATTTCAATTAAGCACTAGTGAAAAATTTAAACCAGCAGGACTGCAGGAGACTGTATACAGTCTTTAAGATCTGAGTTCTGACTATAGTTTCCTGTTCCACTCATGGTCCTTGTCCTGTTTCAGAGCCAGTTCCAACAAGCCAGCCCCAGTCCCCGGTCCCTGTGTCACCGGAGAGCACTGGCAGCAGCCCAGAGGAGAGCAACCACCAGGCTGTCTCTGTCTCTGGCACTGTCTCGCCAGAGCCTTGCCAACATACCAGTGAGGACGAGGAGGGGCAGCAACACAGACAGGTGGGCAGGGTGAAAAGAGGGATCTGGGGTTGTCATATGAGCACCCATTGAATAAAGATCATATACTCTATCTAGGCCACATACACATATATACCTAGGGCTATATCTCTTACTTCCCTGTTGCATAGTGATAGCTGCTGCTACTGGATGTTTTGGGTGTGACATTAGGATGAGTCATGACATTGGGGTGATACATGGGTTCAGTGTGAGATAAACAACAACAAATAACTCAGAGAATAACTCCCTTTTCTATTTTATATATCTTTCTTTTAGACAGTGGCTATGTGTAGTCCAAAGGCAGCTGTGTTTACCGCTAGGCCAACCTGCAACCTGCAATCTCGTCTCAGTTTTAACCAAGTCTTTTGTGAGATTGTACGTGTGAGCTTCATTTTTGTTTCAATATGTCATTTCGTACTAGTTGTGTTTGGACAAAGACAGTCTTGTTAGTATACAATAGTATTTTTCCAACTATTTAGCGAAATCCCCTTTCCCCACATACCACACCCCCCTCCCTGGAGGTGATAAGGCCCTAGCAGCCAGTCACTGGACACCCTCCCCTGGCCATCCCAACAGCATTCCACATAGTCCTCAGCTGGTTTATCACTGGGGGATGTTGAGGAGACTCTGTCAGGAGGTGCAGGAGCTGTGGCCAGTGACAGGCATGGCTTTAAATAGAACCTTTAGCTTTTTATATCCCTTACTGTACTTTACGGTTGGTTAGTTTGAGAGTTCTGGCGTATTCCAGCGACAAGCCGTGGGTTGGTTGCTTGCTCGGACTGATGCTCGTTTTCAGGACTGTGAAATGTTTTGAGAATGCTTCTGTGAATGCTGATGACGTGGCTTTTGTCAACATTGAGTGACGACATAATTTTGTGAATGTTTATGAAACGTAGGCATATTACCTGTTGACAAGGATCCATTGCGATATATCAGTTGCTCTTTGTTGTCAGACTGATAGTAGTATCAGTAGTATCTGAATGTTAGGTCTAGATTTGACACGCCTTATGCTTAATATAACTGTAATCGGGGCTTGTGTCACATATTCCATTGCTTGCTGGACAGACTACCTACCTGGGCAAACTGCAAACTTTAATCATAAATGGTGTACATGTGACCTCTAGTGGTCAGTGCATATAGTCCTGAATGAATCCCAATTGTTTTTGTTTTTGTTTATGGACCTTCCGTTATTTTAAAGATCAAACTAAGTTCATGCACAGTAAATGTACATTTTATGACTCAGTTTATCAATCGAAAGAGGATCCAGTCAGAAAAATCATTCTATTTTATTTCAATTATACAGTGCATTCGGAAAGTATTCAGACCCCTTCACTTTTTCCATTTTTGTTACGTTACAGCCTTATTCTAAAATGGATTAAATTGTTTTTTTCCGTCATCAATCTACACACAATACCCCATAATGACTGAGCAAAAACAGGTTTTGTTAAAATTGTGCAAATGTATAAAAAATTACTGGCTTCTGTCTGGCCACTCTACCATAAAGGCCTGATTTGGTGGAGTGCTTCAGAGATGGTTGTCCTTCTGGAAGGTTCTCCCATCTCCACAGAGGAACTCTGGAGCTCTGTCAGTGTGACCATCGGATTCTTGGTCACCTCCCTGTCCAAAGCCCTTCTCCCCCGATTGCTCAGTTTGGCCGGGCGGCCAGCTCTAGGAAGAGTCTTGGTGGTTCCAAACTTCTTCCAGTTCAGAATGATGGAGGCCGATGTGTTCTTGGGGACCTTCAATGCTTCCACATTTTTTTGGTACACTTCACCAGGTCTGTGCCTCGACACAATCCTGTCTCGCAGCTCTACGGACAATTCCTTTGACCTCATGGCTTGGTTTTTGCTCTGACATGCACTGTCAACTGTGGGAACTTATATAGACAGGTGTGTGCCTTTCAAAATAATGTCCAATCAATTGAATTTACCACAGGTGGACTCCAATGAAGTTGTAGAAACATCTCAAGGATGACCAATGGAAACAGGATGCACCTGAGCTCAATTTCGAGTCTCATAGCAAAGGGTCTCGCTTCATCATTATGGGGTATTGTGTGTAGATTGATGAGGACATTTTTTTATTTAATCAATTTTAGAATAAGGCTGTAACGTAACAAAATGTGGAAAAGGTAAAGGGGTCTGAATACTTTCCTAATGCACTGTATATGCTGTAATTAAAGTTTTCATTGTTTAAGCATTAGACATTTTTGGGGGGGTTACAGACTTTTTTTATTACCAGACAAGTATGCAGGTTAGGCAACTATATGCCTAAGACTTTATCTAGCAAAAAATATATATTAAAAAGTGTATGTATGTACAGTGGGGTAAAAAGGTATTTAGTCAGCCACCAATTGTGCAAGTTCTCCCACTTAAAAAGATGAGAGAGGCCTGTAATTTTCATCATAGGTACACGTCAACTATGACAGACAAAATGAGAGAAAAAAAATCCAGAAAATCACATTGTAGGATTTTTAATGAATTTATTTGCAAATTATGGTGGAAAATAAGTATTTGGTCAATAACAAAAGTTTCTCAATACTTTGTTATATACCCTTTGTTGGCAATGACACAGGTCAAACGTTTTCTGTAAGTCTTCACAAGGTTTTCACACACTGTTGCTGGTATTTTGGCCCATTCCTCCATGCAGATCTCCTCTAGAGCAGTGATGTTTTGGGGCTGTCGCTGGGCAACACGGACTTTACACGGTTCAGTCGTCCTTGTCCCTTTGCAGAAAAACAGCCCCAAAGCATGATGTTTCCACCCCCATGCTTCACAGTAGGTATGGTGTTCTTTGGATGCAACTCAGCATTCTTTGTCCTCCAAACACGACGAGTTGAGTTTTTACCAAAAAGTTCTATTTTGGTTTCATCTGACCATATGACATTCTCCCAATCCTCTTCTGGATCATCCAAATGCACTCTAGCAAACATCAGACGGGCCTGGACATGTACTGGCTTAAGCAGGTGGACACGTCTGGCACTGCAGGATTTGAGTCCCTGGCGGCGTAGTGTGTTACTGATGGTAGGCTTTGTTACTTTGGTCCCAGCTCTCTGCAGGTCATTCACTAGGTCCCCCCGTGTGGTTCTGGGATTTTTTCTCACCGTTCTTGTGATCATTTTGACCCCACGGGGTGAGATCTTGCGTGGAGCCCCAGATCGAGGGAGATTATCAGTGGTCTTGTATGTCTTCCATTTCCTAATAATTGCTCCCACAGTTGATTTCTTCAAACCATGCTGCTTACCTATTGCAGATTCAGTCTTCCCAGCCTGGTGCAGGTCTACAATTTTGTTTCTGGTGTCCTTTGACAGCTCTTTGGTCTTGGCTATAGTGGAGTTTGGAGTGTGACTGTTTGAGGTTGTGGACAGGTGTCTTTTATACTGATAACAAGTTCAAACAGGTGCCATTAATACAGGTAACGAGTGGAGGACAGAGGAGCCTCTTAAAGAAGAAGTTACAGGTCTGTGAGAGCCAGAAATCTTGCTTGCTTGTAGGTGACCAAATACTTATTTTCCACCATAATTTGCAAATAAATTCATTAAAAATCCTACAATGTGATTTTCTGGAAAAAAAATGCTCAATTTGTCTGTCATAGTTGACGTGTACCTATGATGAAAATTACATTCCTCTCTCATCTTTTTAAGTGGGAGAACTTGCACAATTGGTGGCTGACTAAATACTTTTTTCCCCCACTGTATATATATATATATATATATATATATATATATATATATATATATATATATATATATATATATATATATACAGTACCAGTCAGAGGTTTGGACACACCTACTCATTCAAGGGTTTTTCTTTATTTTTACTAGTTTCTACATTGTAGAATAATAGTGAAGACATCAAAACTATGAAATAACACATATGGTGTTAAACAAATGAAAATATATTTTAGATTTTAGATTCTTCAAAGTAGCCACCCTTTGCCTTGATGACAGCTTTGCACACTCTTGGCATTCTCTCAACCAGCTTCATGAGGAATGCTTTTCCAACAGTCTTGAAGGACTTTCCACATATGCTGAGCACTTGTTGGCTGCTTTTCCTTCACTCTGAAGTCCAACTCATCCCAAACCATCTCAATTGGGTTGAGGTTGGGTGATTGTGGAGGCCAGGTCATCTAATGCAGCACTCCATCACTCTCCTTGGTCAAATAGCCCTTACACAGCCTGGAGGTGTGTTTTGGGTCATTGTCCTGTTGAAAAACAAATGTCCCAATAAGCGCAAACCAGATGGGATGGCGTATCGCTGCAGACTGCTGTGGTAGCCATGCTGGTTAAGTGTGCCTTGAATTCTAAATAAATCACGGACAGTGTCACCAGCAAAGCATCCCCATACCATCACACCTCCTCCTCTATGCTTCACGTTGGGAACTACACATGCGTAGATCATCCGTTCACCTACTTTGCGTCTCACAAAGACACGGCGGTTGGAACCAAAAATCTCAAATGTGGACTCATCAGACCAAAGGACAGATTTCCACCGGTTTAATGTCCATTGCTAATGTTTCTTGGCCCAAGCAAGTCTCTTCTTCTTATTGGTGTCCTTTAGTAGTGTTTTCTTTGCAGCAATTTGACCATGACGGCCTGATTCACACAGTCTCCTCTGAACAGTTGATGTTGAGATGTCTCTGTTACTTGAACTCTGTGAAGCATTTATTTGGGCTGAAATTTCTGAGGTGCAGTTATTCTAATGAACTTATCATCTGCAGCAGAGGTAACTCTGGGTCTTCCTTTCCTGTGGCGTTCCTCATGAGAGCCAGTTTCATCATAGCGCTTCATGGTTTTTGTGACTGCACTTGAAGAAATGTTCAAAGTTCTTGAAATGTTCCGGATTGACTGACCTTCATGTCTTAAAGTAATGATGAACTGTCATTTCTCTTTGCTTATTTGAGCTGTTCTTGCCATAATATGGACTTGGTCTTTTACCAAATAGGGCTATCTTCTGTATTTACATTTACATTTACGTCATTTAGCAGACGCTCTTATCCAGAGCGACTTACAGTTAGTGAGTGCATACATTATTTTTATTTTTTCATACTGGCCCCCCGTGGGAATCGAACCCACAACCCTGGCGTTGCAAACGCCATGCTCTACCAACTGAGCTACATCCCTGCCAGCCATTCCCTCCCCTACCCTGGATGACGCTGGGCCAATTGTGCGCCGCCCCATGGGTCTCCTGGTCGCGGCCGGCTACGACAGAGCCTGGATTCGAACCAGGATCTCTAGTGGCACAGCTAGCACTGCGATGCAGTGCCTTAGACCACTGCGCCACTCGGGAGACCCATTTGTATACCACCCCTTTACATTTGCACAACACAACTGATTGGCTCAAACACATTAAGAAGGAAAGAAATTCCACAAATTAACTTAAGACGAAAAAGTGTTAAACAAATCAAAATATATTTGATATTTTAGATTCTTCAAAGTAGCCACCCTTTGCCTTGATGACAGCTTTGCACGCTCTTGGCATTCTCTCAACCACCTTCATGAGGTAGTCACCTGGAATGCATTTCAATTAACAGGTGTGCCTCCTTAAAAGTTAATTTGTGGAATTTCTTTCCTTCTTAATGCGTTTGAGCCAATCAGTTCTGTTGTGACAAGGTAGGTGGGGGGGTATTTGGTAAAAGACCAAGTCCATATTATGGCAAGAACAGCTCAAATAAGCAAAGAGAAACGACAGTCCATCATTACTTTAAGACATGAAGGTCAGTCAATCTGGAAAATTTCAAGAACTTTAAACGTTTCTTCAAGTGCAGTCACAATAACCATGAAGCGCTATGACCGCCACAGGAATGGAAGTCACGGACACCTCTCAACATCAACTGTTCACAGGAAACTGTGTGAATCAGGCCTTCATGGTCGAATTGCTGCAAAGAAACCACTACTAAAGGACACCGATAAGAAGAAGAGACCTGCTTGGGCCAAGAAACACCAGCAATGGACATTAGACCGGTGGAAATTTGTCTTTGGTTCCAACCGCCGTGTGTTTGTGAGACGTGGTGTGGGTTCACAGATGATCTCTGCTTGCGTAGTTCCCACCGTAAAGCATGGATGAGGAGGTGTTATGGTGTGGGGGTGCTTTGCAGGTGACACTGTCTGTGATATATTTAGAATTCAAGGCACACTTAACCAGAATAGCTACTACAACATTCTGCAGCGATACGCCATCCCATCTGGTTTGGGCTTAGTGGGACTTTCATTTGTTTTTCAACAGGACAATGACCCAACACACCTCCAGGCTGTGTAAGGGCTATTTTACCAAGAAGGAGAGTGATGGAGTGCTGCATCAGATGACCTGGCCTCCACAATCCCCCGACCTCAACCCAATTGAGATGGTTTGGGAAGAGTCGGACAGCAGAGTGAAGGAAAAGCAGCCAACAAGTGTTCAGCATGTGTGTGAACTCCTTCAAGACTGTTGGGAAAAAATTCCAGGTGAAGCTGGTTGAGAGAATGCCAAGAGTGTGCAAAGCTGTCATCAAGGCAAAGGGTGGCTATTTGAAGAATCTCAAATATAAAATATATTTGTTTAACACTTTTGTGGTTACTACATGATTCCATGTGTGTTATTTAATAGTTTTGATGTCTTCACTATTATTCTACAATGTAGAAACTAGTAAAAATAAAGAAAAACCTTCAATGAGTAGGTGTGTCCAAACTTTTGACTGGTACTGAATATACACACACACATAAATACATACATACCTACAGTGCATTTGCAAAGTATTCAGACCCCTTCCCCTTTTCCACATTTTGTTACGTTACAGGTTTATTCTAAAATTGATTAAATAAATGTTTTTCCTCATCAATCTACACACAATACCCCATAATGACAATGCGAAAACAGGTTTTTAGACATTTTTGCAAATATACTAAAAATAAAAAACATAAATATCTTATTTACTTAAGTATTCAGACCCTTTACTATGAGACTTGAAATTGAGCTCAGGTGCATTCTGTTTCCATTGATCATCCTTGAGATGTTTCTACAACTTGATTGGAGTCCACCTGTGGTAAATTCAATTGATTGGACATGATTTGGAAAGGCACACTCCTGTCTATATAAGGTCCCACAGTTGACAGTGAATGTCAGAGCAAAAACCAAGTCACGAGACAGGATTGTTTTGAGGCACAGATCTGGGGAAGGGTACCAAAAAATGTCTGCAGCATTGAAGGTCCCCAAGAACACAGTGTCCTCCATCATTCTGAACTGGAAGAAGTTTGGAACCACCAAGACCCTTCCTAGAGCTGGCCGCCCGGCCAAACTGAGCAATCGGGGTAGAAGGGCCTTGATCAGGGAGGTGACCAAGAACCCGATGGTCACTCTGACAGAGCTCCAGAGTTCCTCTGTGGAGATGGGAGAACTTTCCAGGAGGACAACCATCTCTGCAGCACTCCACCAATCAGGCCTTTATGGTAGAGTGGCCAGACGGAAGCCACTCCTCAGTAAAAGTCATATGACAGCCCGCTTGGAGTTTGCCAAAAGGCACCTAAAGGACTCACAGACCATGAGAAACAAGATTCTCTGGTCTGTTGAAACCAAGATTGAACTCTTTGGCCTGAATGCCAAGCGTCACATCTGGAGGAAACCTGGCACCATCCCTACAGTGAAGCATGGTGGTGGCAGCATCATGCTGTGGGGATGTCTTTCAGCGGCAGGGACTGGGAGACTAGTCAGGATTGAGGGAAAGATGAACGGAGCAAAGTACAGAGAGATCCTTGATAGCGCTCAGGAGCTCAGACTGGGGCGAAGGTTCACCTTCCAATAGGACAATGACCCTAAGCACACAGCCAAGACAACGCAGAAGTGGCTTTGGGACAAGTCTCTGAATGTCCTTGAGTGGCCCAGCCAGAGCCCGGACTTGAACCTTATCTAACATCTCTGGAGAGACCTGAAAATAGCTGTACAGCGACGCTCCCCATCCTACCTGACAGAGCTTGAGAGGATCTGCAGAGAAGAATGGAAGAAACTCCCTTAATCCAGGTGTGCTTGTAGCGTCATACCCAAGAAGACTCAAGGCTGTAATCAGCGCCAAAGGTCCTTCAACCAAGTACTGAGTAAAGGGTCTGAATACTTATGTAAATGTGATGTTTACATTTGTAATATTTTATACATTTGCAAAAATGTCTCAACCTGTTTTTGCTTTGTCATTATGGGGTATTGTGTGTAGATTTATGAGGGGGGAAAAAACTATTTAATCATTTTTAGAAAAATGCTGTAACGTAACAAAATGTGGAAAGGTCAAGGGGTCTGAATACTTTCCGAATGCACTTCTAGCTTTGACTTTGCTGATAACTACTTTATTGACTAAAAATGTCCTTACTATGCCTATGATATGTGGTTATCCCACCTAGCTATCTTAAGATGAATGCACTAACTGTAAGTTGCTCTGGATAAGATGACTAAATGACTAAAATGTACAATTTTAATGTCAACTTCATATCCCAAGCAGCTCCTCCCACTTCAGTCTTCGTGCCCTGCAGCAGAGATGAGTGGCCAGGCCCAGACTGCATCTGTGACTCCTGACCCCTCCACAGATGTCACCACTGAGACCGACAGCGAGACTGGGTTCAGAGAGGCAGTGGCGGAAGCTGCAGCAGCGCCTGACACCCAGGCAGGCGGCGAGGATGGTCAGGACGCCCCGGCGGCGACCAGACGCAGGCAGCAGCAACCAGAGAACGTGGTGTCGGAGGTGGAAATCCCCAACGTGGGCAGGATCCTGGTCCGGGCTGACACTGACGGCTACAATGAAGAGGTAGAGAGCCGCTACTTAACTAACTTTATTTAACTTAAATAAATAAATATCTAAATACAAATGAATAGTAATAATACATTTGGAGCATGCTATTCCATGTTACATTGACTTCTATTGTTTTTGGTTAGAAAATTGTTTAGATAAATTTTGGGCAATGCCACTCTTTGGCTGTTGCTTCAAATTATAATATTATTGCTTGCATATATCCAATGAATGGATACAGCATACATGGCTCGCTGAAAGGTGCATTGCTGCTATAGGAGTTTGTTTGTGTGTGGACTTGCTCTAATACCTGTTCTTTGTCCTTCTCTGTGGTGCTGTGTTTAAGATGATGCTGACTCCAGCCATGCAGGGCATCATTATGGCCATAGCCAAAGCCAGACAGGCATTCGACAAGGATGGCCCTGAGGCTGGCCTCATCAAGGTAAAGTAGGCTGTGTCCTTAGTACTCGCTCAGTGTCATCTCGCTAGTCTATGTCCTTCTACAATGTAAACATTTTGTCTGTCTCTTCTTGTTGAGGCATATGTAGACTACCAGTCAAACGTTTGGACACACCTACTCATTCAAGGGTTTTTCTTTATTTTCACAATTTTTTATATTGTAGAATAATAGTGAAGACATCAAAACTATGAAATAACACATATGGAATCATGTAGTACCAGAAAAAGGGTTAAATAAATCAAAATATGTTTTATATTTGAGATTCTTCAAATAGCCACTCTTTGCTTTGATGACAGCTTTGCACACTCTTGGCATTCTCTCAACCAGCTTCATGAGGTAGTCACCTGTAATGCATTTCAATTAACAGGTGTGCCTTGTTAAAAGTTAATTTGTGGAATTTATTTCCTTCTTAATGCGTTTGAGCCAATCAGTTGTGTTGTGATAAGGTAGGGGGGGGGGGGGGTATACAGAAAATAGCCCTATTTGGTAAAAGACCAAGTCCATATTATGGCAGGAACAGCTCAAATAAGCAAAGAGAAACAACAGTCCATCATTACTTTAAGACATGAAGGTCAGCCAATCTGGAAAATTTCAAGAACTTTGAAAGTTTCTTCAAATGCACTCGCAAAAACCATCAAGTGCTATGATGAAACTGGCTCTCATGAGGAGCGCGACAGGAATGGAAGACCCAGAGTTACCTTTGCTGCAGAGGATAAGTTCATTAGAGTTACCAGCCTCAGAAACTGCAGGTCAAATAAAGCTTCACAGAATTTAAGTAACAGACACATCTCAACATCAACTGTTCAGAGAGGACTGTGTGAATCAGGCCTTCATGGTCGAATTTCTGCAAAGAAACCACTACTAAAGGACACCAATATTGCAGATAGATTGTAACTTCCATCAATGTAATTGTCTGTATCACTTCCAATCCCCCATATGGGTTTTTTTCTCACAATTTTTTTTTTATATATATATATATATATATACATACATACATATAAATACATATACATACATATCCTTTAAAAATATATATTTCCCTTTATTACTTTCCAACCCCACCACCCCTTCCCTAATTGGAGTAAACTAGTGAACAACAACGCTTAGGCCTCTACTTCCAGCTTATACATACTATATACATTTTATGGACACAGTCAATTTTACAATAATTCTATTTTGTTTGTTTTTACTCCTGAACTTCCTCTACCCTCAACCTCTCCGATCATTTTCATGATGTCCACCCGGTTTGCTTCTATATGCCATATCTTTCTAACTGTGCTCTTTCACAAAAGCTCTCAACCTATAACTTATATACTTATTATGGACACAGTATGCTTTACATTAGTTATCTTGTTGTTATTAGTTGTTGTTAGTTGTTATTAGTCCCGTCCTTCAGCTCCATTCAACACCTCACACCATCCATATTGGATTTCTATTTGCCATATATATTTTCAACTGTACTGTGATGTTTCACAAAAGTTCTGAACCATTCTATTCTCATTGTTTCTACAGATTGTATATTGAAAATAAACATTTTTACTAAAAGTATTATTATATTATTGATCGATTGACTATGACTTTTCAGATCACCCAGTAGTGCTACAGTGGGGGAAAAAAAGTATTTAGTCAGCCACCAATTGTGCAAGTTCTCCCACTTAAAAAGATGAGAGAGGCCTGTAATTTTCATCATAGGTACACGTCAACTATGACAGACAAATTGAGGAGAAAAAAATCAGAAAATCACATTGTAGGATTTTTTATGAATTTATTTGCAATTTATGGTGGAAAATAAGTATTTGGTCACCTACAAACAAGCAAGATTTCTGGCTCTCACAGACCTGTAACTTCTTCTTTAAGAGGCTCCTCTGTCCTCCACTCGTTACCTGTATTAATGGCACCTGTTTGAACTTGTTATCAGTATAAAAGACACCTGTCCACAACCTCAAACAGTCACACTCCAAACTCCACTATGGCCAAGACCAAAGAGCTGTCAAAGGACACCAGAAAAAAAATTTGTAGACCTGCACCAGGCTGGGAAGACTGAATCTGCAATAGGTAAGCAGCTTGGTTTGAAGAAATCAACTGTGGGAGCAATTATTAGGAAATGGAAGACATACAAGACCACTGATAATCTCCCTCGATCTGGGGCTCCACGCAAGATCTCACCCCGTGGGGTCAAAATGATCACAAGAACGGTGAGAAAAAATCCCAGAACCACACAGGGGGACCTAGTGAATGACCTGCTGAGAGCTGGGACCAAAGTAACAAAGCCTACCATCAGTAACACACTACGCCGCCAGGGACTCAAATCCTGCAGTGCCAGACGTGTCCCCCTGCTTAAGCCAGTACATGTCCAGGCCCGTCTGAAGTTTGCTAGAGTGCATTTGGATGATCCAGAAGAGGATTGGAAGAATGTCATATGGTCAGATGAAACCAAAATAGAACTTTTTGGTAAAAACTCAACTCGTCGTGTTTGGAGGACAAAGAATGCTGAGTTGCATCCAAAGAACACCATACCTACTGTGAAGCATGGGGGTGGAAACATCATGCTTTGGGGCTGTTTTTCTGCAAAGGGACCAGGACGACTGATCCGTGTAAAGGAAAGAATGAATGGGGCCATGTATCGTGAGATTTTGAGTGAAAATCTCCTTCCATCAGCAAGGGCATTGAAGATGAAATGTGGCTGGGTCTTTCAGCATGACAATGATCCCAAACACGCCGCCCGGGCAACGAAGGAGTGGCTTCGTAAGAAGCATTTCAAGGTCCTGGAGTGGCCTAGCCAGTCTCCAGATCTCAACCCCATAGAAAATCTTTGGAGGGAGTTGAAAGTCCGTGTTGCCCAGCGACAGCCCCAAAACATCACTGCTCTAGAGGAGATCTGCATGGAGGAATGGGCCAAAATACCAGCAACAGTGTGTGAAAACCTTGTGAAGACTTACAGAAAACGTTTGACCTGTGTCATTGCCAACAAAGGGTATATAACAAAGTATTGAGAAACGTTTGTTATTGACCAAATACTTATTTTCCACCATAATTTGCAAATAAATTCATAAAAAATCCTACTGTGATTTTCTGGCATTTTTTTTCTCATTTTGTCTGTCATAGTTGACGTGTACCTGTGATGAAAATTACAGGCCTCTCTCATCTTTTTAAGTGGGAGAACTTGCACAATTGGTGGCTGACTAAATACTTTTTTTCCCCACTGTATCTGCAGGGTTAGCTCCAGGTAAATATTGCAATCCTTCAGCCCTTCCTGGACCTGTGACCAAAAACAAGCTACAAATGGACAGTACAAAAACAAATGATCTAATGATTCTGTCTCTTCACAGCAAAATCTGCAGACCTGGGAAGATTGTATCCCCCATATAAATAACATTCTATTGGTAGCAAGAATTTAGTATAAAACATTTTATTGAAAAATTATACGTTTTGAATCCGGCGTCGTTTTGCGCATCAGTTCATAAACACTATGCCATGGAACCGGTACGTCAAAAATCTCTTCCCAACTATTTTGCATGGGACGGCTGTCAATCCGTTGGTCCTTAAATGAAACTGGTATACTTTTTTATTTATCACAATTTTCTTTAACCAATTATGTTCTTTAATGCAGGGCAGACAGACAAGTTCCTTACTTTTTCCCCCTTCCACCTTCCTCTTCCATTTTTGCGGTAATGCTGCAATTATTTGGTTGTAATTTTGGGTAGAGCAGACATTTCCATATGTTTTTGTTAGCTGCATGTGCGACATAACTCCACCAGTCCTACATATTATATCATTTCCGAATATTATACCTTTTTTTCCTCAAAAAAACATGTTTTTTTTTCATCAATTAGTGTATTTGAGTTTAACCACAATATTTGTTGCATTATTTGTTCTGTCATTTCTGGAGGATTAAATTGAAATTGCAACCAATTTTCTATGGCTTGTTTTAGAAATAGTGATATTTGGGAGATGATTTCCTTTTCAAATAACTGAAAGTGAGCGGTTGTAATCTGAATAAAGGGAAAAAGGCCATTCTTGAACATGGGGTGAGACAATCTTACTAATTTGCTAGAGAACCAGTTCGGATTTAAGTATAACTTTTGTATGACTGAAGCTTTTAGTGATGCTTTAATATTGATTCATTTCTGTCCTCCAAATTCATATTAATTATATAAATAGGCCTGTTAAATTTTTTCTGACTTGCCGTTCCAAATAAAATTGAATCTTTTTTTCTCATATAATTTAAAAACTGTTCGCTAGGCATAGGCAAGACCATAAGCAAATAGGTAAACTGGGATAATACTAAAGAGTTAATCAGGGTGATTTTTCCACAAATGGTAGGATGATCTTATCTATTTTTGCTAACTTTCTATTAAAATGTATTGGAGTGAAGTCATTTATTTCATTTGGGATATGTATTCCGAGTATATCCATATCACCATCAGACCATTTTATTGGTAAACTACATGGTAATGTAAAAATTGTATTTTATAGTGATCCAATACGTAATATAGTATATTTATCATAATTTGGTTGTAATCCAGAGATGTTAGAAAATGTATCTAGATCCTCTATGAGACTGTGGAGGGATTCAAATTGTGTATTTAAAAGAAAACATGAATCATCAGCGTACAATGACACCTTTGTTTTTAAGCCCTGGATTTCTAATCTCTTGATATTATTGTTGGATCTGATTTTAATAGCTAACATTTCGATGGCCATAAATAGATATGCCGATAGTGGACAACCTTGTTTTACTCCTCTTGACAGTTTAAAACTTTAGGAGACATAGCCATTATTTACTATTTTACACCTAGGGTTACTATACCAGATTTTAACCCATTTTATAAGAGATTCTCAAAAATTGAAATGGTCCAGGCATTTATATATAAACTCCAGTCGTACTTTATCAAATGCCTTTTCAAAGTCTGCTATGAATAGCAGGCCTGGTTTCCCAGATTTTTCATAATGTTCTATCGTTTCCAGTACTTGCCTTATAT